GGAACCTCCTAGAACGGTCCGACCTGGCTGACTGCTCCTCCCAGCAGATGTCCGGGTAATTTAGATCACCCATGACAACTACATTCCTTGCCTTAAGTGCCTCTGCAAGCTGGCCCAAAAATTCCCAGTCCAGCTCCTCCCCTTGGTTGGGGGGTCTGTAGTAGACCCCCACCGTTACATCCCTCTCCCCACAACCCCCTTGTATCTTGACCCAAAGCACTTCAGCTTGCCCCTCCTCCGACCCCATTTTGCTGGCAGAGGATGTGAATTGCTCTTTGACATAAAGTGCCACACCCCCATGTTCATCTTATGATGATTTCACAGTATGATTGGCAGTTGAACTCCCTGATAAAATAGCAAATCCATTTTCTACTCATTTCCTATTCAGCACAAGTCCTATTTGTACAAGTCCTGTGTCTGCAGCTGTCAGAATTCTGGAAAAAATCTTCAGATTTCATTTGTTAAAATAGCCTGCATAAAACACTTATGGAAGGGAGTACTTTATTTTAATATTTAATTCAAAGTAAACTATAACAAATAATAAATTACTTTAAGATTTAATGGGATTGATTGTAGCCTGTGCTTTAAAATTATATATGAGGAAATGGGGGAGAGAAAACATTAAAGATGCCTATATATATCATGTTGTTTGAAAAACCTTGGCCCATAATCTCCGAGTCAAGGAACATGGGAGATACCTAAAGAATTCTTGGTGCTGTAAGTGTCACTCAAATATCTGAATCAGTACCGAACCAAAACGGTATAAAAGGGATCATCATATAACCAAAACACTTTCTTTTGAATGAAACCTACAGCTCAGAGTCTTGCCTGTCTTGCCTGTGAGGACTACATATTTTTCAGTTTATCAACTTGATTTCTTAGCCAGTTCTGGTATCTAAATGCTATTTCCTGGTTCAGTTGTATTCATTGTCATCCCTTTTTATTCTAAAGTACTGTACTTGCATGAGTCCAAGACAACAATGAATTTAATATAACCCCCCAATAATTAGCTATGCATGGAAAATTTATAAATTTGTTATAATTTTTGATTAATATAATTATTAAAGGGTCATCTTAAATTCATCCCCCCTACCGGTGCAAAGCCGTGTTAGAGGGGGAGGGGAGAGCAAGGCTATGTGGGGTAGGGCAGAGACTGCAGGGAGGGGAGAGGTTGGGGTCCGGGGGGGCAGCTCCAGCCCCGCTCCCTGGCCGGGGACTGGGGCTGGATATGGGGCCAGAGCCAGAGCAGTTGCCATTCCCACCCACAGCCTCATAATTAAATCCAAGATGAGGGGTTTCCCCCCTATGTTAAATGTGGGGGGAAACTGTGTCTTGGATTTTAGTAAATAGGGTATTGTACTTTTTGTTGTAAACTCTTAAAGTTTGCTCTTTTTGAGAAAAGGGTAACCACTGAAAAGGGCTTGGGGGGAGAGAGAAGCAGGGATAATTCTTACATATATTTTATTCTGAAATGGTTTTATGAGAACTGTAACATCATTATCACTTCCTTCCCAGGCTGTAGGACATTCTAGGAAGTCTGAATTCATTGCGTTGTCCTGGGATCATACTTCAGGGCTATTGTCTGATTTTTTTCAAGTTTCTTGAGGGGGGAAGGAGGATGGGGTGGGACCCAAAACAAAACAAAACTAAACTAACTCCTCTTTGGTTAACTTTTAGCATTTAAAGCTACATTGCAATACAAAACATTTGCATGCCACTTCTTGAACGCTGTTTTGGATGCGCCTGCTTTATCACAAGCTATTGTGCCATTTTGATATTTGTTAAATAAATATAGTAAAGTATAATGCACATTTTACAATTGCATAAAAATATAAAATGCAAAATGAATGAATAATATGTTTACTTTCATTTTCAGGAATATAAATTGGCCCTCCTACAGTGCTATGGACGGTATCTTCAGCAGTTCAGCTCTATAAACATTGATGAGGTTATAGCAGATGTGAATCAATTTAAGTCCATCTTTTTTCCAAGCGGGTTTAGAGATCAAAATGCTGCACTTACGGTAGGTGCTTAAGCAAGAGTTTTAGCAGATACGTTATCGTTTCAAAATAGGTGGTCTTTGACAAATACTTCTTCCATAATGTTATTGAGACTTAAAACTTAGTACAATTCAGAAATAGATTTGACAGTATAATGAATGATGAGAACATCCAAACTTATAACAGTAAGGATTAGAGAGAGAGAGAGAGAGAGTGTTTGGGAAAGCATATTAAAGCTTATGCTTTGGGGGATAAAGCAATGTCTCACTAATTGAGATTAGGAAGATAATTTTCCTGTAGGCAGACTATTCCATTACTCCCTGCAGTAGGGTTTTTCCTGGTATCAGCCACTCTTGAAAGAGTTTATGGACTAAAGTTGATGACTCATCTGATTCAGTGTAAGAGTTTGTTTATGGCTAAACTATGAAAATATGACAGCCAACACAGAACATTGCACTGTACTTTGTGCAGTATTTTTTTGTAAAAAGGCTGCATGTTAACTGCCTGATCACACATAACAAAGCAACCTGGCACTTGTATCAACACATTATTTTCTGGATGATATATAAAAATAAATGAGTAAAAACAATAATGATAATACACCTGTAAATGATGAAAGCTTGTGAGGAAGCCAGATGACCTCCAGAGCATGTAAACATGTTTCCTGCATTAATCTCTCTAGGCAAAAAAAAGTTTCTGACAGATTCTTTCAGATCAATGTAGAAGGGGAAGAAATTATATATAGGGGTAGGAGAAGGTATTGTAAATGTAATGGATTCTGTCTCTGCGGTTTTATTGAGAGGCTCTGCTAAACAAGATAATGATATGGGTACTTTGGGATTAAGTGCCAGCATATTTTTTTTTCTGCCTGGGCTTCAGGATAACTGGGAAAGCTGCAGCTTTTCTACTTGCATTTGAGATCATCAGGTACAGATGATGACTGATAATTCCTAAAGGTAATAGCTTTAGTGTGTGTGTGTGAGTATTACACAATAATATATATATTGTGTAAGGCAGTGCCATGCAGAGGTTTTCAAGTCAGCTCTGCATGTTGTGCGGGCTGGCTCCCGGTCCCGTCCTCGCCGGGCACGAGCCAGGCCCGTCTGTGTGCACGCGGGCTGTGGCTGGCAGCCCGGACACGCGGGGCCGGAGAAAAACCGCGGGGTGGAGTAGTACGCTCGAGCTAGAATCAGTCACGGAGGCGTAATGGTTGATTGAAAAGATTCTGCACTGCGATCGGTGACGGGGAGAGGCTAGAGGCCGTCGGTAAGTGGTGCCCCGGAGTTTGCTAGGCTTCGGGGGTTCAGCAATTGGAGCCTCTATCGCCTTCTTAAGAAAGACGCGCTGGGTTCGAAAGGACCCACAGCGCTTAGAGATCCGTCGATCCGTCTCTCTCTCCGTCTCTCTCTCCAACTTGGGCGGAAACCACCCAAGCCTTTTGTACGGCCTGCAAGCCAATAGCTAGCCGCCATGTGTGCCTAAATTAAGACCGGCCAATAATGTGGCTCAAATCTTAATACAAATGGCGGGAACTCCTTTGCAGTGTGCATCACTGTAATGCAAGAGAAATGCACAATGCAAAGAAGGCTACAAAATGGCAGGAAACACTTTTCTGCATGCGGGTTCTCTATAACAACAGAACACTCCATTGTGCAAAAGAGCTGCAATTCGGCGGGAACATAATTTAGCGGTGCCAAAGCGCACACAATCAAAAAATCCACAACTTTGGGTTGTGACATGTGATCACTGTTGAACCAGAAGTAAATAGCTGTGTTAATTTGGTGTTGCATGCACATTACAGGTTTCCCTCGCTTTATGCAGGCTCTGTATGTGTGATTTTGCTTTATGCGATGACCCTTTTTATACCAAAAATTTGTTATATGCTAGGTAAATTCATAGATTCATAGACTGTAAGGCTGGAAGGGACCTTGGAAGATCGTTGGTTCCAGCCCCCTGCACCAAGCAGGAAAGATAACTGGGGGTCAGGTGACCCCAGCAAGGTGACTGTCTAGTCTCCTCTTGAAGATTTCCAGGGTAGGTGATTACATCATCTCCAGAGGAAGCTTATTCCACAATCTGGACACTCTTACTATGAAGAAGATTTTCCTAATGTTGAGCCTGAATCAGTCTTCCAGGAGTTTATGGCCATTACTCCTAGTTTTCCCCTCAGGTGCCCTGGTGAACAGTTGCTCACTGAACCCTTGATGTACTCCCCTAGTATAGCGGTAAGCTGCTACCAGGTCTCCCCTCAGCCTTCTTTTCTTCCGGCTGAAGAGTCCCAGATCCCTCAGCCTTTCCTTGTATGGCTTGCCGTGTAAGACTGATTATATGGATGACTCTTCATTGGACTCTCTCAAGCTTGTCCATATCCTTGTTAAAGTGTGGTGCCCAGGACTGGATGCAATACTCCAGCTGCAGTCTCACTAGTGCTGAGTAGAGCAGAAGAATCACCTCCTTGGTTCTTCTGCTCTCACTCTTATGAGATTGGTGTGGCAGAAGCCTACAGTCAGCTGCTTTGAGCAGTGCATTGTGGGAGTGACATGCACCAAAATATAGTCTCCTGTGTAAATCTGTGCTCCTTGCTCGATGTCTGTGACACGTGTTTCTGTAGTTGCCATCTCTATTATGATAGTACACATAAGCACAGGTACTGTCTGGTGTTGGTGAGTACCAAAATTGTCTTGTAAAAGTGGTAGAAGTGGGTCTGGGGGTCAGTACAGTTGAGGTCTTGGAACGTATCCTTATTTGTTACTTTGTAAAGTGGATTCCCTTGCTGAAGAACAGGCCTTATTAGCCCTGACACAGCACTGGGCTCACATGCCTACATTACTTTTGATTCCAGAGCTAGTTTGGGGTATTTCCTTATTGCACTAAATAGAATTTTTCAGGGGGCAAGTTGCTTACAAGTTAGGATAGAAACTCTGGTGACAGAAGAGTTACTGTTTATATGATTTGTTTTTGTGTTTTAAAGATTGTTCAGCCTCCTGAAGGGAATGGGGTCAGAAACTTCCTTAGCCTGTTTTTGGTTTGGTTTTATACTTTTAAAATGCATCTGAAGTTCTGAAAAAAGTTTCCTTTGCTTAACCTGGGACTTTGGCTGAGTTTCTGTCCATCTCCCTTACATCTGTCATTTGTCCTGGTTTTATAATGAAGAGTGCCTAATTTAGAAGCCTGTTCCATATTGCAGTATACTGATTGGCCCTTATGTTCCCTTGAGTGTTCAGATGTGGAAATGAATTCCTTAACATAGAACTTAAGTTTATTAGACTTTACATTAGTAAGGGGCAATGTTAAAGTGAAAGCAATGCATATGGAGGTCTTGTGTTTGTGCCCTGCCAGCTTTTTGTGGCTCTTCCCATTCCTTGTGAATATGGCATTAGTGCAATGTCAGAAGGAGAGGGGTTGGCAGTACAGAGTGGCCCAATGAAAAAGTTAATAGTTTCAGATATCATTATTTTAGTGGATTTCTCACAAGGCTGGTGTATACTAAACCATTCTTCCTCTCTGTGGTTTCCTAACTTTGTGGCAATGGAGTCATCTGGGCTCACATGGCCATGGGCAGATGTTTCGTTTCTACTGGGAGAATTGCCGCTCTCTGGGTAAAAAAAATTGCCAGTGTATAGGTATTCATTCATTCATTTTCTCCCAGAGGAAACCTGCCCCATCCATGAGAAAGATCTTCTACCTTGACACATGGAAGATCTCCCCTGTGGTTTGGGGAAGATGGTGGCACTTCCACACTGTTTGACTTTTCATGATCAGGGGAGAAGTTGAGCTACTTCTGCCCTGCCCCTGAGCCTTCCTGAGAAAGGGGGACTCTGATCTGGGGAAAGACTCGAAAAGGAGCAGCAGGTGGACTCCTCTGAACACAGAAAGAGTCCAGCTAAAGCTTCTCTTGCACTCTTCTCAGATTAGAGGGACATGTGGTCTTGAGGGCTTTCCCCTACAACTGGACTCTTCCTGTGCTTGGGAGGGATCCAGCTGCTGCTGCTCTCTCCCAGCCTTCTATAGACCGGGGTGACCACTGTCTGGGGGAGGCGGGGAAGCAGCAACTGTGTCATTCCTGGGATCGGCTGTTGTGAGGTGTGGAAAGGCACCTTAAACCTTTTCCAGACTGAGGTGACCATGGTCTAGGCTAGGGAATTTGTGGGGAACAGAGGCTGCTCCACTTCTCTGATGACTGGGAGGAATGGATCAGCAGCTGCCCACCCCCTTTAGAAGTCCCGGGTTGCTCAGATCTGGGATTGTTGGGGGAGGTGGGGGGGGGGTGAGAGGGGTCAGCTGCAAGTTAGAACGACTGTATTTTTTTGCTCTTGCTAGGATTTTTGGTGCTGCAAATTTTCCAGAATGAGCTTGTCAAATGAGCTTTAGTTAAAACATCCCGCAGCCATTTTGAAATGTGGGGGGGCTTAATACATGTGGCGGTGAGCCATTTTAATTAGAGCAGCTCTCCAGGGACCACTGTTATGAAAATGAGGTCGCCCCCCCACCCCCCCACTTCCGAGCATATGTATAGGCAACTGTTGTCACAACACAATAGTAAGTCATTCAATACAAGAGCATCTTTTCAGTTTTCTTGTACCTGTAATGGTCGCATTATAGTATACTTCATCTTTTCTCATTCATGGTTTGTTGTTGTTTATTATGGCAAAAGCTGATAGCTTATTTTTAAAAATATGTATTTAATTTGTATTATATAACTGTTCCCATATATTTTAGTTCCATGCTTTGCAAGAAAGGAATATTTGCATTTATCAGATGGTATGCAGCAGTGATAGAAATCTCCAGAATCAAGAATCCCTGCAGACATGTTTCATTCTCTTGTCCTCCCTACGGCTTATTATGCAGGTGGCTTTACCTCAAGAGTCTTTGTGTTGGCTTATCTATAATGGTATGTCAGATGTTTTGTTTAAATTTTCTTTGTAAAGTATGCCTTTGAAATGAAATTTCATACTCCTGCAACAGCAACAAAACATCTGAGTGATAGTTCTAGTTACTTTTTAATTGTAAAAGTATTTTTTTCTCAGTGAAATGATATTTTGAAATTCATGCTGACTTGGTTTCACATTTTTCATGAGCTTGCATTTTTGTGATAGACCTGTATAAAAGAAATAGTCTTTTCAGAGTGTTTTGAGTTTACTTATACAATGAATTCTGACAGACTATAAGGAAAGCACTTCTAGTTAAATACTGATATGAGAATCACATGTAGGTTATTTTTTTTATTTAAAAATGTTCCTGTAAATAAGGATTTTTTGCACAATGGGATTGTAGTTCTGAAGTGTAGGAAATGAGAAATGAACTTACAAATGTTTGAATTTATAAAAAGTTTGTATATTTTTATAGGATTCTTCAGTTTTGAATTTAATAATTAAAATTCCATTAAAAATGGAAATCATTATAGATCAAGCATTTGATTCCATATGTATCCAATTTTAAATTTGGGGTACATACCGACTGTATTTAAATCACATGAATGGAAATATATAGATAGTTGTATTAAGGATTCTTATTTCATGAAGCAAAATATTACACACTTGTTTTAAAAGGAGTACAAATTCTGTTTCTCCCACTCCAAAGCATAGATTCATAGACATTAGGGCTGGAAGGGACCTCGGAAGATCATCGAGTCCAGCCCCCTGCCCAAACGGCAGGAAGTCAGCTGGGGTCATAGGATCCCAGCAAGATAAGCATCCAGTTTCATCTTGAAGGTGTTCAATGAAGGCGCTTGAACCGCCTCCGGTGGCAGGCTGTTCCAGACCTTGGGGGCTCAGACAGTAAAGAAATTCTTCCTTATGTCGAGCCTGAAACGATCTTGAAGTAGTTTGTGACCATTTGACCTCGTCATCCCTTGGGGCGCTCTGGTGAACAAACATTCCCCCAGATACTGGTGGTCACCCCTGATAAACTTGTAGGTGGCCATCAGATCACCCCTGAGCCTGCGCTTTTCCAGGCTAAAGAGCCCCAGGGCTCTCAGCCTGTCATCGTAGGGTCTGCTTCCCTGACCTCTGATCATGCGCGTGGCTCTTCTCTGGACTCTCTCAAGCTTCTCCACATCCTTTTTGAATTGTGGAGCCCAAAACTGGACGCAGTACTTCAGCTGCGACCTCACTAAGGCCGAGTACAAGGGGAGAATGACATCCCGGGATTTGCTTGAGAAGCATCTATGGATGCAAGCCAGTGTTTTGGTCTTTCCCAAGGTGGAGAACCTTGCATTTATCGGCGTTGAACATCATCAGATTCTCGTCCGCCCACTTGCTGAGCCTGTCCAGGTCAGCCTGGATAACCTGCCTGTCTTCTGGTGTGGATGCTTTGCCCCCAAGTTTGGTGTCATCGGCGAACTTGGCCAGTCCGCTTCTGACTCCAGTGTCCACATCATTAATGAAGATGTTGAACAGTATGGGTCCAAGGACAGAACCTTGGGGGACCCCACTGGTCACAGGACACCACGATGAGTGACTTCCATTAATTACTACCCTCTGGGTCCGACCACGGAGCCTATTTTCCAGCCAGCGGATCGTGGAGGACCCAAGGCGACAATTGGCCAGTTTCTCCAAGAGGTGATCATGGGAAACCAGATTGAAGGCTTTTTTGAAGTCAAGATATATGACATCAATCTCTTCTCCCTTGTCCAGGTGATAGGTCACCTGGTCATAGAAGGAAATGAGATTGGTCAAGCAAGACCTACCCGCAACAAACCCGTGCTGGCTATCCCTTAAGATGTTGGCGTCGGCCAGTCCATTAAGGATGGCCTCTTTAATAAACTTTTCTAAGATCTTCCCCGGGATAGAAGTCAGGCTAATGGGCCTATAGTTAGCCGGATCCACTTTCCTCCCTTTCTTGAAGATAGGCACCACATTGGCCTTCTTCCAGTCTTCGGGCACTACACCAGAGTGCCAAGAGTTTTCAAAGATCCGCGCTAGAGGCTGGGCTATGATGCTCGCCAGCTCCTTGAGTACCCTGGGGTGAAGATTGTCAGGGCCGGCTAACTTGAAGGTATCCAGCTTCTCAAGATGTTCCTTCACGAAGTCAGCATTAATGGATAGTTCTCTGCTGCTGCTGTCATAAATTGTTGGAATATAAAATTCCTTCCTTCCTTGTGACGAGGTATTTAGCAGAATTAGCGGATTGATTGAATCTGACAGGCCCACTGTGAGCACTTCTCTGACCTCTGGGCTGCCAACTGTATACATTCCTTAGCACCTGCGCTACCCCATCCCATCATATAAAATTACTTATAAGAAAAGTTTTTTTTTAATTGATGGTGGTGACTTGCTGAAATCTTCCTCATCTTTTAGGCATGTAAATAGACTTGCTATTCCGACATCTCACATCTGCTGGGGCCACTGCAAACCACATTTCTCAGTCTTAGCTGTCAAAATATAATCAATGCATTAAATTGTATATGTGTCTTCTATTCTTGGTCTCACTGACTATGCTTGGGGCTGATAGGTCCATCTCCTTAGCACAGCTTCAGCCAACAACTGCTCTTTCCAACTGGAGGGAAACACTTTAGGAGGAAACCTGGACTCCAGCATAATTCCTTCTAGATACCTGCCCCTTCTACAGCTCCATTGCCAATAAGTGTTTATGCTTCATTACACATTTGAGGTGCAGATCAGTACTTCACTAACATATACTAAATTGAAGCTTATTTGGATAATAAAGCCCTTGTAGATATGTTGATTTTTTTCAATGTGATGCCTCACTGTGCAATTGAAGTCCCTTTCTGTAGAGTAATATAAACCTTGGAGTGTTAATTGCTTGTCTAAGTCTTTGGTATTCAAAGCTTTAGTACACAAGTCATTTGCTACACTTCTTGGGTGAGGTTTTCAGATGCACCTTTGTGACTGAGGAGGACAAGTCCCATTGTTTATCAGTAGGACTTCAGTTTCTAAGTCACTTAGATACTTTAAATATGCTAATATTCAGTTTTTCATTTAGCCTAGAATAGTCAATATATTCGTTTTAGACTCCAGAAATATATTATTTCTTATGAATCTGTTTTGCTATGTATTTTACTGTTGAGGTTATTATTGCACGAAAATTTGAGTGGTTTAATCTGTTTTAAGTATAATTATGTTAAAATTCTTATTTTAAAACTATGTTTATGGTGATTTTTCATTTTGAAATACTGGAATCGTGCATTTTTGTGTATATTAATTTTATCTTATTTTTATAGGTACAATTTATATTTATACCATATGCAGACATTTGATGAGCATAGGTCAGTCTGTTAAGGTATGGCAAGACAAACTGGAAGTTTTTTTGTGGTTAATGTGCCTACAATGTTGTAGTTAAAAATTATTCTGCTTTACAGTAATGTAATTTTACTGGAGAACAGGAAATGTATTTGTATTTTGTTGTAATTTGTAAATTCCATGTTACCTCCTCTGTTAGCCCTAACAGGAATAGCACCTACAGTCCCTGCAAAATGGGAAGAAAAAGTTTGGGATCCAGAGGGACCAGTGTAGAAGGTCTGAAACAACTGACTAGTATTCCCTAATGGCCCTTTGCAGATTAAAACTGTGGATGTGCGTCCCTACTGTTATGGCTTGATGGGTCAGGCTGCCATGAAGTATCCATCTGTTAGAGTAAGATTTTTTCCAAGTCCCTTTAGGATTTGGCTCAATTAAATTTGACATTGTAGAAGTTTTTATTTTAATTTGTTTTACATTTAATGAACTATTCCTATCTAAAGAAAAGAATTGTTAAAATGAGTTAATGATTGCTGTACCAAACTTTAGTTCCTATTTATTTTGCTATTAGGCATTCATCCCAAAATAGTCAGTGACCATAAAATGCTAGAACAAGCTTCCTACAATGGCCTTGTAAGGAGGACAGAGGGTTGAGTCTGTAGTTTTCAAGGCCTTCATTGGACAGCCCAGATGAGGAATCATTTCAGTTGTGTACACTACGGAATATTTTGTGTCAGATCCTCAGGCTGTGTGTGACAGGGTGAGAAATCCACCCTGTCATGCGCTGCTGAAAGAACAAAGGGATACTTACCATGCTGAAGAGCCCGACCCGGGGACAAGCCATGCCAAGAGCCCCAGATGGTAATTAGCACAACGAGCTGGGAGAGCTGGCCAGGCAGTGAATGGAATACTGCAGCCGGCCTCACAGCTGATCAGCATGGGGATTTAAAAGGAAGCCGACCAGGCAGTCAGTGTCATTCGGAGTCGGGAAACTACCTCAGAGGGAACCCAAGTGAACACGGGGAGATTACCATGAGGGATCAACCAAGGGGACTCAGGAGAGAGTCCTGAAGACTGACTTACCTGCAGAAGTGGGGAGACAAGACAGCTGTGCCGTCCAAGCCTGTGAGTCTGACTCCGGCGGGTGCAAGCAGCCATTCCAGGGATCTGGAGGGAAGAAGAAACAGAGCCAAGCGGTTATGTGAGCTTGGGGCATTGCCCCAGTTTGACTCAATCCTGAAAGATAAAGGTCGGGATGAACTGTGAGATGGTTGGCTTGGGACCCGTGCAGAGAAGAATGAGGCAAGTGACTGGGGTAAAAGAAACCAGTCACCTAGAGATGGATCAAGTCAGCCCAGGGACTGAGACTCCCACAGTGGAGAACTGATACAAGTGAAATCCTAACATCTGGTGGGTGTGGGCAGAGTATGGGATGGTGGAGCCCTGCCTAGGGGAGCCAACCTTCTGAGTTACAGAACTAACGCCAACCTCATCTCATAGGAGTGTATTCACCTTTGGTTCCTTCCTGTTTCCATCCAAGTTGTGGTGGGCGAGTTTAAGGAGACTATCTGGTCTAACATGAGAGGCAGCAATTTTACTTTGGGAGGACATGGCCAGTCTTCCAGAGTGGTTTACTGGCTGGGAACTAAGAGAGCTGGCCAGGTACAGAGTACCCCACCCTAACTGAAAGTACAAGAATTGAGGGCACCTTGACTTGCCTGGGGTTAGCTGTGCTGAAAGGCTGCCAACGGGCCCACCAAGTCATGGTGCAAATAATGCAGGCCCAGCAAGTACAACCGGAGGAGTTAGTCCAGGTCAGGACACAGGAGGTGGAAGTGAGAATGTCAGTACTCAGCTGACAACAAGAGCTGAGCGAAAAAATAGGAGCTCAACAAGCAGCAGTGCTGGGTGCTTCTGAGAAGTTCCGGGTCCCCAAGATGATGGCAGAGGATGACATTGAGGACTACCTAGAGGCTTTTGAGAGAACAGCTGTTGCGTCCAGATGGGATCTGGCCAGGTGGGTCTCCTTGCTGGGACCCTTACTGATTGATTGAGTCCCAAGCAGCATATAGGGTGCCCTCTTGAGCTGAGGCCAATGATTATGCAGCAGTGAAGAAGGTCATCATCCTATATAGGCTGGAAATATGACCTGAGCTTTACAGACAGCATTTCTGCACCCCTAAGAAGCAGGACAAAAAACATCCCAGGATCCTGGCCCAGATATTGAGAGATGCTATAGAACACTGGATCCAACCTAATGGAAAGACTTTGCGCGAAGTCATATAGAGTCGCACTGATGACTCATGTTCATCTTGGAGTCCACTAGGACTCCAAGATCCCTTTCCGCTTCCGTGCCACCAAGCAGGTCATTTCCTAGGCAGTAGGTATGCTGGACATTTTTCCTCCCTAGGTGCAGCACTTTGCATTTCTTCTTGTTGAATTGCATTCTGTTGTTTTCCGCCCATATGTCCAACCTGTCCAGGTCTGCTTGTTGGTTGAGGGACCTAGATCTCTTCAGCCTTTACAAAAGATGGCTGAGGGGTGACCTTGTAGCTGCCTACAAGTTTATCAGGGGAGGACAGCAGGGAATTGGGGATGCGCTATTTACCAGAGCGCCCCAGGGAGTAACTAGGAATAATGGGTGCAAACTAGTGGAGAGTAGATTTAGGTTAGACATTAGGAAGAATTTTGTTTTACAGTAAGGGTGGCCAAAGTCTGGAATGGACTTCCAAGAGAGTTGGTGCTATCACCTAACTTGGAGGTCTTCAAGAGGAGGCTTGACAGTCACCTGGCTGGGGTCATCTGACCTTGGTCCTCTTTGCTGCCAGGGGCAGGGGGTCGGACACGTTGATCCATTGGGTCCCTTCTGACTCTATAATCTATGAATCTATGAGAGTGATGGTCCAGCTGCAGCTAGGATTCCACAAGGTGATTTTTCACTAGGAGGAAGGTGTGTGACAGGGCAAGAAGTCCACTCTGTCATGCGCCGCCAAAAGAACAAAGAGATAGTTACCATTCCAAAGAGCCCAACCCAGGGAAAAGCCACGCTGAGAGCCCTGCATGGTAATTAGCACAATCAGCTGGGAGAGCCAGTCAGGCGTGAATGGAATACTGCAACCGGCCTCACAGCTGATCGGTGCGGGGATTTAAAAGGAAGCTGACTAGGCAGTTAGTGTCAATCGAAGTGGGGAAACTACCCCAGAAGAAACCCGAGTGAACACAGGGAGATGACTAAGGGGACTCAGGAGAGAGTCCTGAAGACTGACTTGCCTGCAGAAGCAGGGAGATGAAACAGCTATGACGTCCAAGCCAGCAAGTCCAAGTCCAGTAGATGCAGGCAGCCATTCCAGGGGTCTAGAGGGAAGAAGAGACAGAGCCAAGTGCTTATGTGAGCTTGGGGCGTTGCCCCAATTTGACTCAACCCTGAAAGATAAAGGTTGGGATGAACTGCAAGATGGTTGGCTTGGGAGCTGTGCAGGGAAGAATGGGGCAAGCGACCGAGGAAAAGAAACCAATCACCTAGAGATAGATCAAGTGAGCCCAGGGTCTGAGACTTCCACAGTGGAGAACTGATACAAGTGAAATCCTAACACCTGGTGGGTGTGGGCAGGGTATGGGGATGGTGGAGCCCTGCAAAGTGGAGCCAACCTTCTGAGTTACAGAACTAATGCCAACCTCATTTCATAGGAGTGTATTTACCTTTTGGTTCCTTCCTGTTTCCATCAAAGTCATGGCGGGTGAGTTTAAGGAGATTTTCCAGTCCAACAGGAGAGGTGGCAGTTTTACTTTGGGAGGACTCAGCCAATCTTCCACACCATGGAACCATAAACTGTTGTAGCTTTTGTAGCTCTACCTTATAGCTTTACTTTGCATTACACTAGCTGAGAATATGGCCATTTGGGTTTATATTGATAGAAGTATATTTAAAATATCCATCATTTAATAATACTTAGTCATAAATTAAAAAAAAACAAAACCAGATTTTTTTACACAGATGTTTGTACCATCCCTGTGAACAACACTTCCCTACCCCCCACTCTGCTCCCCGCTACCTGCTGCCCTCCAAACCAAACTATACATTGTAACTGTGTTTAGTAATTGAGGAAATAACAGTAATCCTAGCTACACTCCTAAAGACAAGCTGCTGTTTGGATAGTTTATTATATGCTATCTAAATTAGGTCTGCTATCTAAATTAGGACATAAACCCGCATTTACAGCTATTTGTTTATATGAAAGGAATTTATCCTTTTGCTGCTTTTAAAGTAGAGCTTCAGTGACACCCAGTGGTTTGATGTTTTATTGCTGAAAGTTCATTTCTCATGAATATCTCAGAAGTTATTCTTTGGACATTTAATTTTTACTGAATACATTGAGTATTTTAATAGCATTGAGTTTTTGCTCAACTTTCAATAGAACAGTCCCTGAATCCACCTGGATCCAATTACTAGTTTATTTCAGTCTGTAATTAAGAATAAATCCATGCCTGTTAATAATTGTAAAGTAGCAGAGATATGAACATACTAGTACTGAAATCAGAAGCGACCTCATACCTATTTCTACTTTCCTATGCCAATGTCGCTTATATTACACATGGACTTTTCTTCCTGACTTCTGAAGAAACAGTGTCAGGCTAATAATAGAAGCATCCAGTTCTGTGAATTGACTTTATTTGGGGCCAAATTTTTTTCAGTACTTCAAAGTGAATGCAAGGGAAAAATGTAGTTAAATACTGAGGTGTCATTCTGTAGAAATCAAGCTAAACAAAAAGTTTAGTAGAACTACTTAGGTCAAGAGAAAGGCCTGGATCTCTGCTCAGTTTCGGATAGTGGAGTGCAGTGTGCTCATTACTTCTTAAGAACTGTGCAGTACTTTGTTGGATTGGTCATAAAGGACTTATTCTCTCAGTGTTCAAATCAATGTATATTTTTCCATGAATTGGAATGATCAATTTCCTATTTCGTCCTTCCTTCAGTCCCTGGGATGTTGGGTGTCTAAGGAACCTCCTGTAGTGCTACATGTAACTAACTATACATAGGCTAGAAATTGATGTTGCCAAGTGATGGGACATGTCCTGGCATGGCTGATCTGCTTCACTGGGTGAAACACACATGTTGCTGTGGGACCAAGGGCAGCATGATCTCCCAGGGCTTGAGGGGTCTGGTCCTGCACATCCTGGGAATTCCCACACAAAATTGGGCCCTTCAAGTCCTGGGAACACCTGTTTAACAGAGACATACCCCCCGGAATCTGCATGCTAGCAACTTGTAGTGGTACAAAGGCTCCTGTAGCACTACATGTGACCCCTCCTGTAGCACTACATGTGTAACAGCTGTCCATGGCCTTAGTAGGAAGTGCATATCAGCACTTGCTTTGATCAGCTTTCCAATATAGCTTGATGTTTACATAGTTAATGCATTTAACTGGTTTCTTTATAATGTTTAATTGTAATTGGTTTCCCTCAACACAGGTTCTGGAATATTTATTATGGGCCAGTGTATGCATGGAATCATCAGTCCCACTTCTAGCTGTACATTATTTGACCTGGAGAACCACTCTTTACACAGCAGTTTGTCAGTGTTACTATGACTGCCGAGCCAGCATCCATGGAGAGGTAGCCTTATTTATCACTCTTACACTTGAATTTTCAATCAAATGACAAAAGGATTAATTATTTAAATATTCAGTCTCCACACTGCCTCTGCCCCTTCCTCCAGCCTCTGCTCCCTGCAGCCTTTGTCCCCTGTCTGCCTCTCTTAGCCGCTGCCCCCCGCCCTCCTTCATCCTCTGTTCCTTCCTATCCCCCACTGCTTACTGTCAGACATGGCTCTGACTCCATTCCCTTTTGTGCATGGAGCATGTGTGGTTTTGGCCACAGGATACCGCTCATAGTCAGGCAGGGGCTGGTGTTCCCATGTGCTCTGTGCCTGGGAGGAAATGGAGCCAGAGCCACACCTGATGGTAAGTGGTAGTGGTGGAGGGTCAGTGGCTGTTAGGGGAAGGTGGAGTTGGGGGACAAGTGGTTGCTGGGCTCAGGGCTGGAGTCAGAGCCACAGCAGTTGCTGGCCCTGCCACCCCCTGCCCACCTTTGTATTTGAATCCACAATGCGCTCCCCATGTTGAATTCAAGTACATTTGGTAAATAGGCAACAAAATTTAAGGTAAGTAAGGCAACAGCCATAATATTGATATGGATAAATCAGCTTTTTATTCATTTTTACTTTGTAAGGTATTTGCTCGTCGAGGTCTGAGTAAAATTGACGAACTAAAGCAACTGGAAAGTGCGAGTTCTTCACCACAAACTTCAGAAACAAAAAACATATTTAGAGAGGCCACTATTAAGGTACAAACTTTTAACAGTTTATAAAAATTGCAGTACAAAAAGCAGAACAAGCAGAATATGTAATAGTTATTTACTTAGATACTTCTCTGATTCAGATGGCAGTAATGGTTTTCAAGCGGTTGGTATATGAATCCAGGAGAAAACCCAAAGTTTATTTTCGACCAAAGCTAAGAGTTAACCTAAAAGAAGCACAACATGTAAGTTTAGAATTTTTATGACTCTCTCTTCCTTTTTATCTATTTATTATTTTTAAATATGTTACAGTTCTTATGTGGGCACATAGCATTAATTATTCAAAAACAAAATATTTTTCCCCTTTTCTGCCTCATAGATAACAAATTATGAATTTTAGTATTAAAGTTAAACTCGGAAGGGTTTTGAGGGAGAGGACTCATAATAATTACTGTATGTACTCGAATCCAGGATGAGGTTTTTTCCCACCTCAGTAGAGGGAAAATAAAGCTCTGTCTTGGTTTCAAGTACCAGTCTGTGGCAGGCAGGGGTTCAACTCTGGCTTCAGCTCTCACTTGTTTGGTGAGAAAGGGGGCCTGCAGTCAGGGGAGTGTGGGGGAGACCACAGCGTGGGAGGGGAAAGGGGGAGACCTGTGTGTGTGGCTCAGGGAGAGCACAGGGGAGACCATGCAGCCTCCCCTACCACAACTGCTCCCTGCCCACTTACCTTCTGCTCCAGCTCTGGTCCTTCCAGCCTTGCTGGGAGCCACCACCCCTTCTCTGTGGCTAGGCTGGGGCTGCTACTCCTGCTGACTGCCCTGGAGCTGGAGTGGAAAATAAGCAGGGTGGGGAGGTGACAGGCGCAGGCAGCAGGCACAAGCAAGGAAATGGTGGGGGCAGACTGCAGCAGGGAGCAGAGGTGGGTGGGGGGCAGAGGGCAGGCACTGACATGAGGGTGCAGGCAGCAGGGTTTAGGTACTGGGTGGGGGGGCAGGGGGGGGGTCAAATTTAAGATGACCTTCCACTAGATTCTGTACGTGGTAAATGATAACAAATTTATAATTTTCCATGTATAGAATCTAAGTATACGTGGGGGGTTTATTAAATACAAAGTCATCTTGGATTTGAGTAAATGTGGTACTTTAATAGGAAATATATTCCATATTGGATTATTTAGGGTTGTTTCTCGTTAGTGATTGTGTGAGTTATTTATGCAGGATAAATGGTTTTTGTAAAAGAGCAACAACTCTACAGTATTTAAAGACAATCTGAATAATTAAAAAAACCTACCCTTGTTCAGTTCATCCCAGGTGTATGGCCCTTGAATATACCCCTCCTGTGTTTAATTACATTAAAGATTCAGTTCTACATCCAACAAAAGCTACAGCAGATTTTTGCATTTGCATTGCATAACTCTTCTGAAACCTTGATAAATATATTTTTCAGCAATTGCTTGTGCCTCCATAGGATTCCATGGCCTAGAGAAATTAGTGCACAGTATGAACTAGCCTTTGAGGGAAATAATTATTTTTCCCAGTTTGCCCTTCATGGCCAACATTTTAACTGTCAGAGTCAAGTGATCCATTAGGAGAGGAATTACAAATTAGTTTAGAGAGGGAAGAATTTGTGCCCAAAAGCTTGCAAAGAGCAATTTTTCCAACTAGTTAGTTGGTCTAATAAAAGATATCACATTTACCCAAAGAGCCTTGCCTGTGTCCTTAGATCAACACGACTACAAGAAACAACCCTACTTTGGTTTAGAGAAACACTTATTAATTTTTTCTGCATACTTGCTTGCTTTGGACAGCATCCAGACCCAATTTATTAACTTTAGTAACTACACTTATTTTCATACTACTATATATATTCATAATGATTCTCCCATGTAACTTGGACAGTTACTCTTGCTTTTATGTCAAAAGGTCATTGAGTTCAAGACCTTTCCTAAAGGCAAGATTCCCTATAGCTGGTGCAAAGAGGACCAGAAAAGTCCCTTATACTCCAGTCATTATTCACTTCAAAAAGAGCAGATGGTAATTCTGCTGCTTACCTTATGATGTCAACTGGGATTGAGGCAAATTTATTTCTTCATACAGCCCAGTAGGAGCTCTGATAATAGAAGCCACTGAGGAGTGGTGCTAACTGCCACTCTCTCCATATGTTTCCTTGCTGATCAATATTTCCATGTACTGGGTTTCTTTGGCACCTCATAGCCCTCTCTATGGTAAGAGAGATTTCAGTCATTTTGCAGACTCTTCTGATGGAGGACTTTATGCTCTGAACCTATGTTAGAGATTATACTGTCATAGCTCTGTGATTAATTTTTCATTTTATGAATTCAATTCTTGCTCTTGGCAAACATTATATCATCAAAGACCATGGTTAGATGTTACAGTAGCAACCTTTAGATGGGATGACAGACAAAGGTCCTTTCAATCTGAATAAGACCTTCAAGGCCAAAGTTAGAAATCTCATTGCATCTTTTAAAAGAGAAAGGGCTGTATCTTTGTTGAAATTTATAATAGTAGATTCAAACATACAGAGCTGAGAGAATGGTTGCTAAAATGTGTTTGCACATCATCATAAAGTACTGTAGAATAATCTGTAATCTGGGTATAAAAGCACTGTATAGGGTAAAAACCCCAAATTAATTCAGAGTTAAAATGAGATTTTTTTTTTGTGTTAAATAATCTTCTATTAAATATTAATAACACACACAACTCATTATTTCTTCTGTACTAATAGAAAAAGATCTGTAATGAATATTAATCATTATTAAAAATTGGGTGCAGATATTAAGAGAACATTATGAATGCATGGGAGTGTTCATTTGATGTTGTTTATGTTTAATAGCAAACCTATAAATCACATTGTCAATGATACATATATAATGCATTAATATTAAAGCATATCAAGAGCCTTAATGTCAAATACCTGGTAATTTTAGTCACAAATACTATAATGCTAAACTACAATGTAGATGGCATAATACAGCTGATCCAAAATTCACTTATCTGAAATTCCACATTACCCAAAACAAGGTCCTAACCCTAAGTGTTTTCAGTTAGGTATAAATTGCATATGTAAAGACTACCAGCTAAATTTCCTAAGGCTATTGAGCTCAATAAAAGTTAGGTGCTTTTAAGTGATGGCCTTCTAGTCCTAATAAACCAGCAGATTTTCATGAAGCCTCTGTGGTCTCCAATTGGGGTTTTGACTCTGTTGGCTTGATAGTCTGTGCTTAGAGTCAGGGAATAGTTGAGTTAATAATGCAACTCTGAAAGGTTTTGCATAACTGTACAGTACCTGGCATTATTCAATATCTGGCTCTAAAAATGCCTGATTGTTAGTAATTAAGTTTTTTTTTTATAACTATGTTACAGTATGTTTTTTGTTTCCACCACTTGCTATGACTATTTTCTTGGCCCTAGGAAGAAGAGGTATTGCATTTTTATATTTTTTGTTTCTAAATGCTTTTATAAATTTAGATTATTTTTGCACTTAATTTATACTGGAAAATGAACATTGGCAAATCGGTTTTACTTTAGTTTGTATAATTTTTTACTTTGTAATTTGCCTTGCAAATCGTACATTTTAAAATACTTGTTGTTACTACCAAGTTGAGCTCTACCTCCACTCCTGCTCTTCAAGTTATTTATGTACTTATTTAAATGGCACTAGCATTTTGAACTAAAATTTCCAAGGGCTATACATCAATGTAGGATTGTATTTTCATGGATTTGATTGCAGGATTGGGACTTCAGTCATTTACCAAAAACAGTGGAAAGAAAAATTAGGGAAATAATAATGTATTGAAAAGGTGTGTTTTTAAATTAAAGATAATGTACTTTGGAAATATTAACCCTGTGGACATAATTATAAGGAATTTAACAAAAATATTTCTTCTGTTTGGAGCTGTCAACAATATGCACCCTTCCCAGAGCTTCTATATGTTCTTTATTACCACCCTCCCTGTAAGAATGATTGTCTTTCTTTTGAAAGGATAAGTAGCTAAACTAATGAGTTGGCCTGGCTGAAAAGACGTGCATATATAATTTACTTTTAAGGAATCCAGCCTGTTATCATCTAGCCTAAATTCTGTTGTATCTGGCACAAATCATTCTCTCTTTGGTCAGATATACACCTAAGCTTGCCAGAATTAAAATGCCTAATTTGAAAGTTAAAATAAAAGATGTGGGTCCAACACAGGAAGAAAATTCTCTAACACCATATTTACAGAAACAGAAGACAGGTTTTTTTCTGCAAGTAGCATGGTGGAAAAATGTCCCTAGTCTTCTATTTGCATACAAGGAAACCTCATTAAATACATTGTCTATTATTAAACTGCTGCCAAAAGCAATATGTACTCAGTAAATGGAAACCAACTATGAAGTTGATGAAATGCAGCCAACACTGAGCATGACTATAAAACACATGGTCCATGTGGCAAAACATTCTGATGGGAACCTACCATGAGAAGACTCTTTTTCAAGTTATGGTGAGCCACTAGATTGCATGTATTTTGACTTTCTCATCACTCCTGCAGCATAGCTGTGCCTTTCTCGTCCATTTCCAATGATTCTTGTTTCTTCATCAGCCTAAAATGTCTGGCAAACATCGCCAAACAGGGTCCCAAACAGTTCACCCAAAATCTCTGTGTTGTCCCCTCTCTGTCTGTTGCATATGATTAGTGTGGCCCTGCCCTCCATGAGGTGGAGCCAGACCAGGTTGCCCTGTGCCTCACCTGTATACACATTTTTGTAGGATCCCAGGACTTGTGATGAGAACACCTGTTTCCAGTCGGGGTGGGGGTGGGGTGGGGGCTAATTAGCCCATAGCTCCTTTGAGGGGGAGCATTTGGAGTACACGCACATACTGAGCAGTGTTAAGCTGTGGGGTTACCGTGGCTTGAACTACTTGTTGACTCTGCTGGGGCCCAGCTCAGTGAACTATATGGTGTATCATGAGCCTTTTGGCTTTGGACTAATGTGATGCATCATTTGTACTATATATAAATAGATACAGAAGTGCTTCTTAAAAATGTGTTATGGAGTGCCTTTGCTAAAACTCACATCAGTTTAAAAAAAGATAAAATGCCTCAATTCTGAATGAACTAAATTTATGGGTACCTGTAGTAATTTGCCAACATGGTAAATTATGTTTATTTCAAGGTCACCTTTGCCCATCATTTCCATGTGCTCAAAAAGGACAGGGTCTGACAGCAAGAGGGGAGGAGGGAAGGGGGCCACTTGACTCCCTCAGATTTATTTTCCTTGCTGTAGTGGTGAGAGGAGGACAAATTCAAAGCAAATCTTCAATAATTTGATTCTATACCTGGAAAATTCTAACTAATGTATATATTGTTCACATATAGAATCTAATTATTGGGGGTGGGGGAGGTCGTCTCATATTCAGGTCCTAGTCGCCCAGCACCTTGCCACTGATTGGCTGCAAGGGCTATCTGTCATGCAGCCCTGTTCCTTTCAACCAGTCAACAGTGAGGGGTGAGGGTGGCAGTCATATTGCCATGCTGGCAACCCTCTCTCCCCTTCCCCCAAATGGGGTGCAGTGGCTACAAGGACTGTTTGGCTCCTCAGAGGGAGCCAGTATTTTATTTTCAGTAATTTTTTTTCAGGGAGCTTGCCAAAAGCACAGAGCCTGCGTTTTCTTGTGGGTCCCACCTGAAATCACGGTATCCGCAAAAATTGCAAAATCGTGATTTTGGTAGGTCCCTAATTATAGCCTATAATTTCTTCTGTTAAACTTTTACTTAACTTACCATGGAGTGCTGTTTTGCAAGAACCGTTTCTTTGTTATAATTCATTAGAAATATTAGAAGACCTAACAAGTACTTATCTCTTGTTTAGCTGCCATGGCCTCGTACTGTTACAGAACAGCTGCTGACAGAAATGTTTGATGGTACTTCAGCTCAGTTCCTTGCCATTATAGAAGCATTATCTGATAGTAATAGGCAATTGTTGCACACTGCACCACCTCTTCCTGAGGAACCTGAGATTCGTGATGTGATTTCAGAGCTTTTTTTTGCAGGCATGGAAATCCTCTCAGGTAAGGGCATACAAAATATGCTTGTTAAGAACCCTGAACATAAATGTTCCTTCCTTCTTCAAAATAAAAGAAATCACCTTTAGAAGTATATGTTTCAGTTACAATAACAGTGCTAAAATAATTAAATAGAATAATTTTTGTCTTCACAAAATCTGACATAAGTACATAAAACATTGAGCGAAATTCTGTTCTTTGTTATACTTGTATAAACCTGGAGTAACTCCACGTGCATCATATAATGCCTATACCTTCTCTGCACAGGACAGTACAAAAATGGTCTTTGTGATTACCCATGGTTAGAGCTACTGGATATGTTCTTACTTGTGTCCAGTCACTCCAGCATAAATGTTGTATTAAGATTGTAACCAATGGCTCCATAGTCTTCTTCGGATATGTTGTGGATTTTGCATGAAAAACTTGTCATGAGGCTAGATCTTTAACAGCCAAATTCTAAATTAGTCATTATAACATGTCTGCCTATAAAATTTCAAAATAGTACCCGAGTCCCTGATTCTTGGATAGGACATGACATTGCTTAAAGTTTATTTTCATCTTTGGGTAGAAAGAAGAGACTATTTTCTGTCTTTAGTCACACCCTTACATCCCAGTTGCATAAGTGTAAATGAGTAGAGAATCTATCAAGGAATATTTATCAGATAAAACAGATGTTCAGTAATACAAGTGAGGGGCCAAATTCTGAACTGCTTAACATTCTGTATCTCTTCATTTAGAACAACTGGGTTGTATATAAATAAGGTCAGAACTAAAGCCATAGAGTGGAGGATGTTTTACTAACAAAATACCACGTTCAGGGTAAACTGTACTTAAACGCTACATAACTGTTTTTTACTTAAATAAAAAATACCAGATGAAATAAATTGTATAATGATCAATGATCTATTTTAAAGGTGGAGGCAGCAGTAGCAGTACACAAGACAGTAATTATATTGACCCTTCTGGTGTAATAAATGCATCTTCAACTCTTCTGCAGCTGATATTAACAGGTAAATTAGTTTAAGCTTTCAAAGTGCTTTGGACTCAATCGCACGCATTCTAAATATGCTGATTTCCATTCATATTACTAATACTTGCATTGGTACAGAGTTCACAAGTTTCTGCCTCCTTCTAGTAAAATATATATGGAGTACTATGACATTTGGATCTGATAATTACATATAGATCCTATTTTAATTTAAACTAGTGCTATTACAAGCATTACTGAAGTAATAGCTTGTAAATATGCAGGCATTATAATATTAATACAGTATTACTATTTTGAACTTAAATGGCATGCTCTTTCAGAGATATTAAAATGTTTACACACACTAAGCTACATTCTGATGTTGTATTTATGAGATGTGTTTACAGGAGGCGAGTAGATCAAAGTGGTTGAATGGTTCTATGCAACCGCTCCTTTTTTGTGGGGGTCAGGATGATATAGCCTTAAAAAAAAAAAACCTGCAACCAAACACTAACTTAACACACCCAGCACCTTCTACCAAGGTAGTACTTTGGTGCTTACTGATAATTTTGCACCCCTGGACTGCTCCCTGCTGAAGGTATAGCTAAAGACTATGTCTAGGATTTTAGGGAGTTCATGAAACTGCATTCTGCCTAGCTTCAGTTTCAGTGCTGTTGAAGGGGAAGGGAGCAGAAGCTCCTTAATTTACTGTATGTGTGTTTGCAGATGCAAGAATGAAAAGTGTTTACCCGCCTTAGCACAAATTCTTAATGTTCTTAAAAGTAGTATTTTGTATATGTTGAGAGGGGGATTTGGGGAACTATGGTTGCATGTGTGTATACGCACTTTGAAGTCATTTCTGAAGCAGTTAGAAATAATAGCTAATCTGATTTGAGTTTAGAGGTGTCTAAAAATGACTGAGGTTGTATTTAGACATAGGGCATGTTCCTATGAGCGGGAATGTGTGATCCCTGGGGACAACTAGCAGAGGCACATTGCTGGTTGTCCCCAGGGAACACCTGTGCACATGTGCTCTGATGTGTAGCAAGCTGCCCCAGGTGGGGTAGGGGAGGCTGGGGCCAGCAGTCTTGGGGGCCTCCTGGGGCTCCAGCAAGTGGAGTCTGGCCAGCAGCTGGAGCATGGCTCTAGCTGGTTCTGGCTGGCTTTGGGTGGTTCATGCTGCTGCCACATGTGCTGCCTCATTTTTTTTTGGTGTGTGTTTTTTTTGACACTGGGATCTCTCGGTGTCAAAAAAGCCCCACCACGCTGCAAACTAGTGAACACAGCACATGTGGTTTGCAGGGCCACAGACAGGTCTGTGGTGCCGCAAACTGCGTGTGTGCACTCATGGGGACATGCCTATAGTGTGTTTATGCACATGCTCTGGGGTGAGGTTTGGGGGTGTTTTAATTAGACCAGCTCCAGGAGAGCTGCCCAAATTAAAACACTGCAGCATCACGTATATTCAGCGTCCCGTGTTTCAAAATGGCCACGGGGGCACTTTAACTAAAGCTCACTCAATGAGTTTTAGTTAAAGCACCCCTGCCACCTTTTTGAAACACAAGACACTGAATACATGTGATGCTGCACTATTCTGGTGCATTCTAGTTAGACCGCTCCAGCAGACTCTCTGACACGTTCTAATTAGGGTAATTTGGAGCACGTGTATAGGTACTTCTTCATTGCAAAAAAAATTTCAGTTTGGCCTTACTCCAGCGAACACAATATATAGTAGGTACCCAAGTTTAGGCATTGCAGTCTATTTTGGATTGAAAGGGCATGTCTACATGAAATGCTATGTTGCCATAGCAGTGAACTACAGCGACATAGTGTCGGTGGGTGCAAACTGTGATGCTGATGCTACTGCGCAGTAGCGTTGGCAATGACTCCTGCAACGCCAGGACTGCATAGCAATAACTGCTCAGTCTGCTGCATGTGTAGACACGCCCAGAGTTTCCTAAGCTCATATCCTTGGACTTCTCTCCAGATCCAGAAATGATCTAGTTTTATTACCTAAGCATCTACTACCTACCTAAGCTCTGGCTAGACAAATGCATGGATGATAGATCTATTAATAGCAATAAAACAAAACAGTCAGAGATTTATCCTCTGGCATCTCTAAATCAATAATGATGGATGCCAAGGAGGATAATGATCAGGGGATAGATAGATCACTCTACGACGTATACCCAATTCATTGCTTTCCCTCTAAAGCATCTACTTTGGCTAGTTTTGTAGCCTATTTGTTATGTTATTTGTTGTTTGCTATGTTGTTTATTTTTTAAAAATAAAAATGTATTTTCTTTTGCCACCTCTGTAGGGAACAATGGTGTGTCTGGAGACGCTGCTGTGAAATTTATAAAGTTAGCTTTTAGCTATGAAGAGTGGGATGCATTTGATTCCACTATCGGACTGGTTTTTAGTTTTCTTCAGGTAATCCAAATACATGGTACAGAACAAATGAAGGTGTTAACATGTTTTTGTGTTTGAAAATTAGTGGGGCAAACTTACATTGCTTTTTTTCTGTGCAAATTTGGTAGGATCAAGATGATCCAGTATGGAAGAAGGCAGAAATGGAACTCAGACTTCTTATTGCGATGCAACCAGTAGTGTCTGCAAGAAGATCTAAACATGGTCTTTCTGTTCAGGAAAATATCAGGGAAGTTGCAATGACTCGTAATTCTGGAAGAAAAACAACTGCACTTCGAGGTGTGTGTTTACAGCTGGTAGTTAAACTAATTGCATTTCAGATTTATTTTTCAGCAGTTAAGCTGTGTTGTTTGCTATGGAAAAGTTCTTTAATTTGCAGTATAACATTTGTCTGCCACAATAGCCAAGAATTGAGAAATTACAATGTACTGAACTGTGTCTTATTTCCTTTTACTTGTCAAAACTTGACATACTGTCATTTCCCTTAAATGTAAGACAGTCTGATTAATATTTCCAGACAGTTTTCCAAAAAAGACCCATGGATGCAAAGATATGTGCCTTTATTTTGCCCTTTATTGTGGCTTACGTATCTGAAATTTCTTGTCATTTAAACAAAAAGAACTTGTTAAATGGCACTGTCATATAAATCTCTTCTGTCATCCACAAAATTGAATCCTGAAAACATTTTCATTTACAAAATGGTAATGTGTATTTTTCGGAGAAGGTGCGGAGGGAATGTGCTTTTCCATTATATTTACTGTGTTGTATTGCCATCTGAAACAAATTGGTATAGATCCATTGAAGTCATTATGCTTTTATGAAGTGCATAATTGGTGATATTTTTTTCTTTTATTTTTTGTTTTACTTTTTCTTCTTTTTCTGTACGGTTGATTTGTAGAAGGATCCTTAAAGCCTGGAGAGTCTGCTGATGATCTTGTCATTTTGGCAACAACAGTGCTTTCCTGCGTATGCACATCTAAACAGGTATAATATAATGGTGGAGACTTTCTGAATGAAGAACTTAATATTGAATTGCTTTATGCAAGTCCAGATTGGAGGAAGTGATTGTTTTGATGGGAGGAAGTGATTGTGTTGGCAAAATGTTAAAGACAAAAACCCCCAAACCTAAATTAAATTACTGAACTCACATGAACTGTAATGAACTTATCCATGATTTATTTTTATTTGTTTTTATTTACTTTTTAGTATGATTGATGCTGTGTAGTTAAGCTACTTCTACTACTAAAATTATTTAATATGTATTAAGTCCATTTTGGACACCTAGTGAGTTTACTAATAATCAAGGTCAGAAATCCAATTCCTTTCAGTGTATTACTCTTAGGGAAACAAATGGCAGGAAAGGTAAAGGTCATATGTCCTAATTAAACTGATTTTTAAAATATATACATTTTTTAAATTCACTACAATTCATGTTGGTCATATCCTTCATAAAAATATAAACTGTGACAAAATCTATACTGGTTTACTTATTTTATTACAACATATTTTGCTAGCATGTGTTTTTGCAGTTTCTGTCTTTTTTTTTCCCCCCAGAATTTCCAACCAGATAGAGAAATACTTGTCGATGTAATAATGTTTTTGTGGCAGAAGTGCAAAGTAGGAGTTCAGCGGATCCAAACAAGTGGAAGTGACTACTTAAAATACATCCACAAATACAAAGTTTATAAAGTATTCCTTTTTCATATCATGTTTCCTTTCATGTAAATGCATTCTATTATGGTTAACCTAAGATAAAATGTATTTCTGAAGTCTAAGTAATACATTTCCTTTTTGATAAACATGCCTAAATCCTCAGTAGTTTCAAAAGGGAGTTGTGTGCTGAATTTGGATAAAAACATTTGTAGGAAATGTTTTTATGGGGGAGAGAAAAACCCCGTCATCCCATAATGCCTTTAAAATAGACAACAAAATAGTTCTGTTCCATTTCTCTGCTAAGGGAAAAGCTGTATAATTCAGGGAAGTCTCCCAAACACAATGGATGAAAATAGCGGCAAGCTGGCAGTGCAAGGGAAGAGATTTGAAAGGAAAAAATCATTTAAAGCCACTTGTTGAACCATTTGTATCTCTGGATATTCCGGAGACTGGAGACTCTCTCAATGTAATGTAGGCTCCGGAGGTTCTTTATAAATTACTGGGATGTCTTACAGCAGCAGTAGGGCCTGCAATCTCTATAGCATTGCTTCCTGTGGTTGTGCCCTGGCATATCCCCATGCCAAGTTTAGTAAGAGTGTCCTCAAAAAGCAGCTTTATAGTTACTTTCTGCTGTGCTTGGGGTAGGCAAATTTTCTTCAAGTTGGAATTGGGGATTATATAGGCCTCTTTTACACAATTCCATCTCTTGTACCTGGCATAAGTAGCTTAGTAAAAGGAGGTTTATCAGGTTATATAAGACTCACTCAGGGTCACAACTAAAATTGGACATCATGCTTCCATGACTTGTGTGCATGACAATTTATGATGATTTTTGTGTCCAAATTCTGTGTCCTTGATGGAAGTTTCTGCTGAGCTTGGCATGGTGATATACACCATGTTGTCCAGTGGAGAACATTTAGAAAATCAAAAAGAAAGAAAGAAAAGAAGAAGATGCTTGTCATTTCATGAAGTGTATGAGGAATGAGGGAACAGCAAAAGGGCTCAATGTTGTACTTTAGAACATCAAGACGGTTGTATCTCTTGCTCCCATTTACACTAGTCCAAATAGAGTTATAGTTCATTAAGTGGGAACAGTTCCTCATGCATTTCTAAACATTTCTGAGTACAACCCCTCACCTCTTAACTATTTTAGGAATATATAAGTATGAATACTTTTAGATTAGGGTTTTCATACTGATTTAAGGTTCTTTTTTATATGTGTTCTTTTTAGTGGATTCATATCCATTGGATAATAAATGAAGTAATTCAGAACAGTAACATGGGAGACACTAACGTGATGCTAGCAGAGGTTACGTTACGTCTTTCTGCAATATTGGAAAACATAGCTGATTGTGCAAATAAATCTGGGAAAAAAACAGGTAAAGTATTTAATGAGAGTATTAATGAAAGCAGATAATAAATATGCAATACATTTTCTAAACATTTTTCTTTTAAATCGGGTTTTAAAATGGTCTCCAGTATTCTGGCCATAGGATTTCAAGATATGAATCTTATTTTTCATTCTTATTCTACAAGAATCATAAAGCAGAGTTAAGAGAGTTAACTCAGTGAGTTAAATCCTAGCTCCATTTAAATAAGTAGAAATGTTATCATTGACTTCAGTGAGGAGGAATTTTCACTGAATGTGTTTAAAATACATGGCCTAAATCAACAATTGTGAACATTAAGTGTAGTAGGAAATAATGCTACTCTATTATTTCTTTGAAATAGCATATAGCGCTAAATCATAGACCATAGAATATGTGTTAGTGCTTTGGAAAAACATTTTCTCTTAATTTGACGAAAATCACACCGCAGTGATGAAAGTTGGGTGAAACTTCATTGAGGCTTCTAGCAGTTACAACCATTCTGCATTCAGGGTAAATGTAAGAAATAGGTTATTCTGCTTTTTCAAATAAGATAGCTAAAACAATAAGAGACACAAACCATAATGCAGGCCTTATGCAAGTTTGCTCACAAACAGGTCTTTGTGAACTGATGGGTTTTGCTCAGTATTATTGGATATAGATATGCCATTTTGTGATCAGAGCTACCAGGATGCCAGAGAAAAGCAGCCAAAAAATAGAACATATAGCAAATGAACGAGTAGCAAGAGAGGGAGGCTTTTTGGACATATAGCTGGTTGGAAAGGAGCTTGGATCTGTAAGGAAAAGGAATGGCTTTCTTTTGTTGGGGAATGGGATTCTGTGTACATTCTTTATAATAAAACAAGTTTACGTTAACGAAATTTCTCTCTTGCTGATTTCCTCTTCTTTTGGAAACAGTTAAGATCTTGAATATTAGTTTACGACTTAGGCCACAAATCGGAATAGCAATACCTTTTAATGGAAAATTACTGTTTTATAAAAATTAATTCAGATATTTTTTAAATATCTGTATAAATTACTTAAAAAATCTGATGGTCAATCAGATAAAATTTGCTTTCAAGAATGAAAAATAAATAAATATTACAGAGGCAGGGATTTTTTTGGGTGATATCTTTTATTGGACCAACTGTATAGTTGGGATAAGCTTAGGTAAGTTTTTGAATGCAAAGCTTTCTTGTACAGGTCACTGTGGACCATCACGGTTATGACATCCCTCTAACACTGCTATAAATATTACAATAAGACTGTGAAGTAAGGGTGGAAACGGACATCACCTTACATGATCGGACATCACCTTTGTGCCACCATAAATATTTTTCACAAAGCAAAATTATATAGATGTCCAGATCCTTTGTCACACCACAAATGCCCAAGTTTGTGGCTGCAACAAAAGGTAGTAATAATTTGTGCCACTTTATTGCAGTGGAAATCTTATTTACTTTACGATGAGAGCGTGGGCAACCCAGATCTGTGACCATTCTCTAGCCACCTTGGGTAGGAGCTGTCTATCTGGGTTTAAGGAGCTTGGTCCTCTGTACTCCAGGATTTTCTGCACAGGATTGGGCCCCTTAAGCCCTGGGAGCACCTATTCAGCTTTTCCCGCTTCCTGAGATGTTCCCTGGGATTTCCAGGGGTGCATCTCTTGAAATGTGGTTCAGGTCACCTGTTGTCCCACAAGATCAACAGGCAGGGCAACAGATGACATGTGTTTTGCCAAATGAAACAAGTCAGCTGTGCCAGCACATCCCAGCACAGCTGCTCTGCTTCATTTGGCAATGTCTTTTTCTAGCCTTATATGATTCCTTATGTTCATACACTTTGCCTGACATTATCTAGTTTGAAAAATGGTGAATATTTAAACTGCCATATTTTTATTTGCCAAAGCATAATCCTAAAGGTAATTATCCATCTTTATCTTTATCCCTTGGGTTAGAACCATAAAAAGTTGTGCAATAATTGAAACTATGCAATTAGTTCTCAAAGCCAGTACAAAGTAATTCTATATGGTTGCCAAAGTCTTCGGTTACTAATAGATTATTTAAACATTATTGGTGTTATTCATTCAGTATAGTTGATTTTCATCTCTATTTTTTTCTTATACAAAAGGAGAGAGAAATGAATCGGAATTACTGACAGAAACTCAAATCTTTGACATTCCTGAAATACTGAAGGTAAAATATATTCCTTTGCTATTGGCATAATATTTGTGAAAAACATTTTCTTAAATGTTTTTCCACTTGGTAAACATCCTTTTAAAATTTAGCATTTTAGTTTTTTGAAGTTGAATTGTTTTTGTACAGTTGCATTAGTGCAAACATATTTCTTAAATCTTCATAGGGAAACCCAGAGAATTTAGCCTTTTCTGACCTTTTATAGTCTTCTGTGATATGAATGTATTTTATGCTAAATCTAGTTTTTCCTTTATAGCACGTTTCTGCTTTTTCCATTATATTTTTTTGTGCTGTAGTCAAAGCAGGCTTTAGCATTCTGGATGGATTTGCAAATCATGCTTTGGGTGCTTTTTCATATGTAACTGATTTTTGCATGTAGTAGTGTGATCCAAATGCACAGGACTAGTCTTACAATGTTGAGAAGGGTTAATAATAGGGTTCTTTTGGGGTCTTTCACAGATCTAACAAACATGATTTGATAGAATGGCTATTAGAGAAACTTTGCTTCATTTAGCGAGACCCTCTGTAATGAACTTAAATGATCATTTAAGGATTTAAGCATATGTAAGCCATGTGCAAATGAGACAACTTCACTGGAGAATTTGCTTTGTTTAGAGTACACTATGTGAAGACCAACATATCACATATATAAAATGTACAACTGCACTTTCAGAATATATTGGTCTCTACATGGGGCACACTAGGCCTGTGCAAAGCGGCTAGTATTTGCTTTGGATTCAGGTTTGGCTGATACTGGGGACAGTGATTCGATTCGATGATTCGAATCACTGTCCGAAATTGATTTGGCCGAATCTGATTCGGAGATTCAGCCACTGCTGAATCAGCCGAATCTCTGAATCAAACAGGCCCCAATCCCCGCCTGCTCTCCCGGCCCCATCAATGGCTGCCCTGCCTGGCCCCAGTGTCCCGGCACTTAAAAACAAACAAACAAACAAAAAACCTCTTGCTGGCGGGGGAGGGAGGGCGATCCCCACTGCCCCCCACTGGCCCATGCTGCATGGGGTGGCTCTGCCATGAGCACCCAAAGACCCTGATGGCCACTGCAGCAGCTGGTGAGTGTGGGACTTTTTTTTAAGTGCTGGTACACTTGGGCTGGGTGGGGCAGCCATTGACAGGGCTGGGAGAGCGGGGCAGGGGTTGGGGGACACTCAGGAGGGCTGGGGGAGCAGGCAGGGGATAGGACCTGGCCATAGTCTCCCCTGCATTTAGCAGCACAGAGCCTGGGTCCAGCTGCCTGTGGCAGTGAGCGGGGACTGCCGAAATCCAAAGTTTTTCCGAATCTGAATTGATTTGTAGGCTTTGAATCAATTCGGACCTTTTTATTGGTCTCCCGATTTGATTCGTATCTGGAGATTCAGCCGCCGAATCGGCCCAAATCTTCTCTGAATTGCATCACCAACTGAAGCTTCGCAGTGCCCTAGCGCACACTAAATAAAGTAAAGGCTTCAGGGAAGCTCTGTCTCATTTGCATGCCTTACATATGCTTAAATGCTAGATTTGTTTAAAAGATATTATTTGTATATGTATTTAAAACAAAACTAGGAAGTTTCATTGAAACATTAAATCTGTGTAAATGGAACTTGGGGCTTTCGGCACAAATCACCATAGGAAAAAAAGCTGTATTTTATTATGCTGTGGTGTTTGAGAAACACTGTCTCATGAGGTAGTTTAAAGACTGTTTTAATGTACAGACATATGGCGTGTCCAGATGAGTGCAGCTATGTGGCGCTGCAAACACTTCTGTAGCACCACATACCGCACAATCAGGTGTTCTTTGTGCTGCAAGGTCATGCTGCCTGTGTGTACGCTGCTCTGTTTTTTTTTCTTCCACAGGCTCCAGGGGTCAAAAAAACCCACAGGGGGAAAAAAATGGAACAGCGCAGGCACAGGCAGCACACGCTGCTGGAAAGTGGAGCTGGGCTGCCTGGAGCTGTGCTGCAGCTGCCAGCCAGGCTTTTCCTGGCAGGATTACCATTGCTGCAGGCCAGGGAGGACCCCAGGACCACTGGCAAGGCTTGTGGCCCCAGCTTCCCCTACTACCCCTAGGGTAACTTGCCGCACACCAAACCACACATGGCATGGGCGTTCCCTGGGTGCATGGTGTGCTGCTGCTACTTGTCCCCGGGGAACCAAACATCTGTGCTCATCTGGACGTGGCCATAGGGTGCATATGCACCTTAATTTTGGAATATCCAAACTTTTAATGTGCTTGCCTTTGGAACCTTTATAATTTCTTAAGTTTTTGGATGGACTTTTGTAAAACCTTTTGTAGGAAATGCTGTACTTGAGGCTGAGACTTCTCTGTTGTAAATTTATCTAGAAAAACTTTCCTTTAAGTGAATATTTTTAGAAATTTCAGAATTTTTTCTTCACTTGTGTTCTTGGTTATTTGAGTTTGTTTGTGCATATACATATTTATCCTTCACTAAAAAATGGTTGAACTTCAAGTCTTTAAAATTAGCCTGTAAAGAAGAATAGTCTATCCAGGGTACCTGAGTGTCTTAATAACAACCAGTAATGCCAGCTCTCTGGCCTTTATACCCTGTACTGTAGCTTTCATTACTACTATAAGTTGATTGTATATAAATTCATTTCAGAAAAGTCCTGCAGAACAGTTGCATTTTGCTTATGAAAGTCTTGAAAAAGCAATTAATGGAATGAACATGTCTCGCTTAATGACCCGTTCACCAGATGGAAAGTCAATATTTGATCACTGTTGTACAAAGGTAAGGCTTCAAAGTATATATTAGAGCAAAATACATGAATAATGTTGGAAATTTTAGTTATGTTTACGCTTCGAATTTCTGCTAAATGTGTATTTTTCACCCCTCCCACCTGAAAAGGGTAGAAAATGATAATTTCCCTGGTGTAAATAGCACATATTATTGAATAAGTTCTGGTATCACTATTTTGCTTTTGATTTTTGTAATGTATTTTTGTGATTTTTCTTTGATTGTAAGAGTCAGAAAACTTTTTTATATGGTTATTACCTGTATCTGTGTATTATAATTAATTTTAATTTTACTTTTGACTGTTATGGAGAAAATTAATTTCTTAGTATGATGTAGTCTTCTATACTTCGATGACAAGTTTATGCAAATTCTTTAACATACTGAGCAATCTAATAATTTTAAAAATAAATGTACTAAAATATTTGATGGAAATCAAGGTTTACTTAATTACTACTATTCTTTGATCAGATGGACCCAAATAGTCAAAATCTATGTGATGCTTTAGCACATGACAGTGATAAAGCAGCCACAGGAAATCATTTTGTGATGGATTTACATTTAGAGCTTATTCAGGCTCAACATCGAATAGCTGTGAAGCTTTTTAAACTAACGCAAGGTAAGGTGCAGTAAAGCTAAATAACTAATACAGATTGATTAGTATGTGTTTTTATTATATTTTTGTAATTCAGCCTAAGTCATAAAGTCTTAGCAGTGCTTGTTAAATACAGTAAATTGAAGGCACTTTGTACATTCCACATACAAAGAAAAAGGTGTGTTGCTTTTCTCTGAAGCACCAGATATTTGTCATATCTAGAAGTCAGAGTCTGACTTGGGGGCACTGGTTTTCCTAATGGTAATTACAAGTCTTTCGGGTGCCTATTGCAGTGTCTACTACATGTGTGCATGGTCAATCAATAGATTTGGGATCAGAGAGGAAATTTTCAGCAAAAACTGGCGAGGACCATTAAGGAATTCCACCCTTCCCACTTCTCCAATGGAAGATGTGCTCCTCTGCTCATCTGAGCACATTTTGATCTTGCTACTTTCCTGCCGCTGCACTTGCTGTTTTTTTTTTTTTCCTACTGTTTATCACATGTGGCACATTATGTAGGCTTTTTATGTAGCATGCTTTTGTGGCTGTGGTAGGTAAGACGGACTGAAATACAGTTGCTGTGTGCTCTTCTGGACAAATTGTTTGCCCCACGGAGATGGATTTATGGCCTGGGACACCCCTTTTGTGTTCCTATATAAGAACAGGGAGGGATAGATTATGTTTGTTTGTATGGTCACTCAAAGAAATGCCATTGAGCCAAACAAGAACAGGGAAGACCAGCATTGCTAATGTTGAATGCAGACCTACTTAAAAACCCTGTTAGAGTACTTTTTCAATAGGGACACCACAATAAGTAAAGTAACTTAATCCTTCCTTTTCTCATAGATGTTCAAATGGATGGCAAAAATTTCAGGGCTACCAAGTCTCATGAGAAAGATGTAAATTGCTTTCATTTAACAGGTAATGTATATTAATTAGATTAAAAAGTGTGGTGCACTATTACTACAAAATATATAAATACGCTTTAAAAATATTTATTTTACAGAAACAGATGTAATGAATAAAGTAAAAAAGAATAAATTATCCAAAGCTATCTTCTTGATGCAGAAGGCTGCACTGATGTACCCTAAAGAGCTGGCAAGTGCCCCCCAAAAGCAGCTACTTGAGGTAACAGGAATTATCTTTTTTGGGACAATTCCACAAATCCTGTGAAATGTCACATTTAAAACAGACTAAGTAAATATGAACATTCTCTTGCCAAATTCTTCTTGAAACTTTCTGTGGCAGAGAGAAGAGAGAAAAAGAAGGAGAGGGAAAGAAATGTTTGACCTCTTTTGTAATGGGATTTAGTTCCAGCACCAAATTTTGTTGATCTGCATAAATTTTAGAAGAGATGCATGAAATAAGTCCCACCCTGGCATGACCTGGCTCTCTCTACCTCTCTGCTGAAGAGGTTATCTGTTTTCAAAGTTCCAAGTGCTGTGTCTGTTGTTGCTGCTTTTGAGGCAGCCTGGGACAAATTTTAGATTAGATTACAGCAGGGGTGGGCAATTATTTTGGGTGGAGGGCCGCTTACTGAGTTTTGGCAAGCCATTGAGGGCCACATGACAGGCAGCCAGGGGCAGATAAATATTCGTTTTCTAAATTTTTTAGGCACCTCATGGGCCAGATAGAATGGCCTGGTAGGCCACATCTTGCCCACGGGCTGCATTTTGCCCGCCCCTGGATTACAGTATTTACAGTCAGCCAAAATGTTGCTGACAAGTAACAGATGAATGGAAACTTTCAAAAGTTTATAATCAAACCTGAATGGAACTTCTTGAGCAAAACAAAGTAACTTTTCTAGCCCCAGGGCTTCCTTGCAGCTGAAATTCAAAGCATGATGCAAACTAGAGTGGTGTTAGAACTTTTCAAAAAGATTGCAAGAATCTTTTTATATTGGAAAGAGTTAGACAGTCAAAATGTAAATGGCATTGTCAGGATGTCCTTGTGCTTGTGATGTCTCTCATTAGCAAGTGCCATTGTTTATCTAATGTTTATCTAATACTGTAAATTTTTTGCAATCATCATCTGTGGGGACTTTTCTTTATTGAGAACAGGTTTTGAATTCTAAGGAATGTTTTAGTACTGTAAAATTACTTACACATGTAGCTGTTGAGAGTTAAGTCCATTATCAAACTCTTTGCTATGTGACTATTTTCAATTTTAAGGAAGCAGTAAATGCTTGTGAGAGGCAAGGATTTTGGGGGGTAATTACCTTTTACTGGACTAACTGCATGGTTCGAGTAGACTTAGACAAGCTTTTGAATGCAATAAGTTGTTTGTAAACTGTCTTCTCAGTCCCTTAGTAATGCACATAATTATGGCTATTTTTATACCACCTACCTCCTGAGCTTGGGACAGATCCTGAGAATCAGGCCCTACCCACTCACTTCACTTAGTAAGGCAATCAAGCCCAGCAGTTAGGCAGAGTAAATGTCATAGCGGGGTTCTGAGTGTGCTGGGGCATAAACCCAGGATCTCTCTAAGGCTAAGTCATCTGATCTGTCTAGCTGCTGAGTTTGGGTACACGTAGAGTGGGAGCAAGGTGGGAGATGATTCTTGGTGGCAATCCCAGATTCAGCAAGGAGGTATACACACACCCTGTATGAGTGTGGATGTTGTGAGTTCCTATTCTTTCTTCACAGACCATATGTCCAAAACTCATCCCTTTCCTGGGAATGAGCCATCTTGGCACTCTGGCACATCATAAAGCTTACTGAATATGTTGCTTAATGAAGACAGAAACAGTAATGGATCTAAATGGCAGGCCTCAAGTTTATTAACATCTTGGAGAGACTTACCTTTCTTGAGTTATTGCTGGGGAGAAGCACTCATTCCAGCTGCAATATGTGATGAACTAAGCATTACTATAAAATTCTAATGCTTACCTGTCAAGGGAGACACCGTGATGATGGTGTTGGCCAAGGTGGTTTTACTGTACCTGGCAGGGGCGATCCTCTTCTCAGCCTTGAATGACTTGGTGTAATTCAGGGTGGAGACCTGTCCATTGCACTGTAGGCAGGCTGACCCCTGCGAGAATCTAGTATAGCCCAATGGGAGGATCTTTGCTATACATTTCATGGTACTGGAGGAGTGCTTTCAGCTCTCCCTCTAGCTTTCTCCTGTATCCTTTTGGTTAGTGGCAAGCAAGACTAGGAGGCATCTGAACTCTAAGGCCTTTGGGCTTGGGGCTTACCCATAGGATACCTGCCACGGATTTGGAAATATCTGAAGTCCCAGACTGAAAAATCTGGGAGGCAAGATACTTACCAGTGGTAGCACCACACAGACGTGAATGACCGAGCTCTGCTCAATATGCTTCCTTGATTCTGTGAAAAAGATGAAACAAAACAAAAAAAACCCAAAACTTACTTTGCCAAAATTCCTTCCCCTTTCTAAAGCAGGTGATTAGTCAGAGTCTGGAGTCCAAAACATTTTCTGTATGTTATTACTACTAAAGGAAAGGGATGGAAGTTGGAAAAGCTGAAGGGGCAGGAGCCCTTCCAAACCCTGTAAGAAGTTTAAATTACTGAAGTAGCCTAGGGCTAGTCATTTCTCAGCTTTTTGTCTGGGCAAAGGGAGGTAGAAAGTTTGTGGCGGAGGAATCTTACCTTGCATTGCCCATCATGAACTCTCTCTCCTTTCAGGACTGTGTATCCCACTATTGTCCTAACCCCCCAAACTTGGCTGTTCTTGGAGCTTTCCTTCAGAATCTCTGCTGACTTGGCTGTAGTTCCCTCTGTGAGAGGGACCTCTGCCACTTCTCCATCTTGGTTGGAGCCAGAATATGTAACTGGCCACCATTATTTTAATTAACAGTAAGCCACCATTATTTTAATCAACCGTCAACAGTAAACATTTTACCTCTTAATCTAAGGTTGGACGGAGAACCTGTATTTGTGGTGATGCCCTCTTCCCCAGAGAATTCAGCATTACTGTTGTTGTACATTGTGCAATTCTTGTTTGCATGGAGAGTTTATACAAGATTCCACTGACAATTTAAATCCCACTAATCCTTAATTTGCACATATGAGGTGCATTCTGTGCAAAGACTACTATTTTTTGGAGAATTTCAACATATTAGATTATAACATTCATTTTGAGGGCGTCTTGTAAATATTGCATGTATCTAGCTCACCTTGATTTTTATCTTCTGTTTTAATTTTTAACTGTAGGAAGCGTTAACTCTAATTCAGAAGGTTGAAGCAGAGCAAAATATATTGTACTCCAATCTCAAACAGTCTACAAGTACTGAGAAAAACAGAGTTCCCCCACCTCCTATATTGGTTTCCAGATCACATTGTTCCATGACATTTAAACCAGCTCCATTCACTTCAGATGTTCAGGTAATGCTTTTCATAATGACTCTATAAGAAGTATATTAAATTATAAGTGGCAGTGAGGAAGGTTGTTTCATCAATACTATATTCATCACAGTGCTCTTTATCATTCTCAGGCAGATTATATTCTCCTGACTGAATAAATTATAAATTCTTATCTGAGTGAGTCACCGGTGACTCACTGTTGTGATCTTCATTTACCTGTGACTTATTTTTTCTCATGCAGCTTGTTCTCTCTGTTCCTACTATTTATCATCCCTTTATCCTACCTGTCAAAAACTCATCCTTCTGCTGAATGCATGCTATGCTCTCTTCAAATGGGTATACAAAATAACCAGTCTGCCATTTTCTCAAGAGATTAATTTTAGTAATAAATTTGTTCCAACAACCTTAAATAATAGTATGTTCACAGTGTAGATAGAAACAGTGGGAACTCAATTGCTGGTTAGTGTTACGAGCAAAATTCTGAAAACAATTTGGCCTATTGATTGAATTGCAAACTTGAATTACTTTGGAGACCATATATTCCCATTTATACCCTCTTAACAATTTAAAAGGTTAAAAAAATTAAACTAATTTAAAGCTCAGTAGTCTAACGCCATGTAATACATACTTATCCACATTTAATGTATTGTACAGTGAATTTTTACAGATTTTATAGGGTTTTCTCCACTAGATGGTGCAATGTGTTTATTTTTTCATTTGTTTGAGAAATTTGTTTTCTGGAGAATTTTTATCTACAGGTACATGGACTCATGGAATTGATATCTCAGATATATCTACTACTTTTTATAAAATCCTTCTCTTCATTAAAAAGTGCATGCTACAATGAAATTTGATTTCATTTAAATTGAGTTGCATACATTTTTTATGGTGGAAGTCAAAACATCTCAAAATACGAGTTTCTCCTACTACCTTATGAATTATAAAAGGTTTCATTTTAAGGGGGGAAAAAAGCTATCATACTACACTATTTATTGCTTGAAAATCCATCTAGCTTTTAGTGTCAGTTAACTCAAATGTAAGCAAAAAAGTGCAAGGAAAGGTAACATTTCAGCTGTTCAGGATTTTACTTTGTATGTTGCATATTTATTTGCATGTTTACATTATAACCAAAACTATTAATTTTGTTAGAGTTTGTACTTAAAGATGTGACAGAAATCCAAAACAATAGAGTACTATTTCCTGTGAAATTTCAGGAAAACTGTCATAAGTTTCATAAAGCTGTAATATTCAGATCTATTTTCTGAGACCCTCCTTCATATTGAGCAGTTTCATAGGACCCCTCTATATGTTAAGTTTATGCCATGAATAACATTTTAATCACAGCACAAATGGCAAGGGTGCTACACATGAACCCAATATAAGATGTTGTAAAGTAGCAGACCAGCCGCAACAATGTTAATCATTTTTTATGGCTGGTTTGCATGGTGCCTGGCTTGCATGCTGCCTTGTGTTGAATGTGTTCCATGTCCAGGGCTGCCCCAGAGCTTGGGTTGGCAATCAGATGATTCTTGGCCCTGGTCCCAGGATTGCACCAGTCTCAAACTAGCTATGGTGCTGTTCTAGGGCTGGAGCTGACAATGACTGGATTGTCAGCCCCAGTCCTGGGACCACGCTTGGCTGTGAGCACTTGTTTTTCAACTTGTGGGTGCAGGGAGAGTCTGGGATCTCCCCTTGCACTGATAAGTAGAAAGGGCATATTGGGATCTGATCCCTGATCCCAAAAGCACACCTCCTGCCATGCACCATTCAACAGAAATAAAGGGATCTGGATCTTGCTCTTTGTTGTTTTTCACTTTTTGTCATATAGAATTTCCTTCCAGAAGTTCTCTTGTTATTTTTGTGGAACAAGTGTTGTAAAATGTAGAGAAACAAAAGAAATCTGAGTGATGTCTCCATAATTTTAGGGCTCTCTAAAATGTGGTCCTTCATGTTTAGATTATGAATTTGAATTCAGTCATGACTTTTCCTAAAGTTGTTCAGAAGTCTACTGCATATAAATTAAATTTATCCAAGTTCCTAGTGGTTCTGATCTAGTAGAGCACTTAACACTGCTCTACTTAAATTTAAGTTGTACATATTTAAATTTTAAGCATGTATATAGTTTTTTTTTAAATCAGTAGACCCAATCTAGCTGGTACTGGAATTCATGATAGTTTCTATGTTTCCCTTCTGCAGAATAATGCCCAGCGGGGCTACTTGTTTGCTTGCTTGCTTGATTTCTTGCTTAAAGGCCAGATTTTTAAAGGTACTTAAGCACTGAATGATGCATAGTGGGAGTTTACAAAGCTTACTGGCACCAAAATTCTATTTATTTTAAGGGGAGTTAATAACTTGGGTGTTGCATTTCTTATACAGCACATTTAAAAGTATGAACTAAGCACATTACTGGATCAGGCCTCAACTCTCCATGTCATGAAAGTAAGTATCAGGAATAGCAATTTCTGGTGGAGTACAAAAACTCAATTCAGTGAGCATGGTGACCTATAAAGATAGTCCCTTTGGATTATGTTTGAGCCGTATTAGTGGGACAGTAGAGAGGGAGATTTAGCTTTTGGCCAAACTAAACAATTATTTTTTAACACCATTATTTTATCAAATTTGTTGTGAAGACCTTTTTCAGCAATGGCATATGTTCTTCATCAGACAATATTTTTTTTTCTTGATGTAAAAGTTAATACATTAAAGATGATGGTAAGTAACAAATATTTAACTTCTCTTCTTTTTTTAAAGGTTTTCTGGTACAGAATTTTTGGTTGTGTAGCAGCAGGAAGCAATACAAAAGTAAGGTTAAATAATCATCACCTTCCAAATGCAGGAGAAGAGGTAAGGGAAACCTATGTATGCCATATTCCCTCTCTAAAAGACTCTCTCTATTGAGCTTTCACTGAGTAAATGCATCTGACACCTTTCCCTCCCACTCCTCCATCTCTGTGTAATCAGCTAGCTGGCCAAACCTTTAGAGAGCCCTTTGATCTTTATTTCAAGTGTTTGAAATTCTGCTGGGCTCAAGGCATTCTCCCAGAACTTTTTTCTTGAATAATGAGTAGAGTGCTTCAAAGATTGTTGGTTTAAGGTGGCCTCTATTTCTTTTATTATATCAGTTTTTTAAAGATGTTTCCATAAGGTAACGAAAAAAAGGGGTAGAAGTATGAGATTTGTTTATAGATTACACCACCATTACAGGGCTACATAGAAGAATGGAGAAATGGCGAAAAGGAAATTTTAAGCAGAATTAAAAAACAAATGTGCTGGTTCTTTTGATATTTTTATTCAGTAAAAATAGAGGAGGAGCTATAACCATCAACTATTTTGTTTTCTGAAGCACCTTACCTTGGGTTTATCTATGACTCATTCCTTGATATATCAAAGTATTGCACCCTAATAGTCTTCACAATCCAACTTGACAGTATATATGCTTTTGTGTAAAGATAACTGAACCCTTTTTTGTTTTGTATCTAGCCCTCTCTACATGTTCAGCCACTCTATAGGCAGCCTGAGAGTTTTTTCTTTGTTAAAGGAAACTTGCAGATTTAACTGCCTTACTATTCTCTCCCAGTGCAATTCCAGAGTAACCTAATATTCCATGGTACTTGCCTTGGGAATGGCACAGATATGTGTATGTTTTCTGCATTAGTTAAATGGGTGGATTATAACATTATTTCAAAGAAATACCTCCAAAAATAAGTAAAAGGTCTCGCATGCTAAGTGCAGACATTGCGGGGGGAAGGAGAGGGTTAGTGGGAGGTTAGATTGTATTAAAAATGGCCACCCAATCTAAGATAAGATGGGATGGGGTGGCTGGTGGTGGGGTTGGGGGCAAACAGGCAAACGGGAGAAGTCAAGCAGGAACCATGAGAGCGATAGTGGGACAGGCAATGTCCACAGGAGGGATTGGGGAGTGTGGGGACAGTCAGCATCCACAGGAGTGATTAGGGGACAGGTGGCATCCATGGGCGTTATCAAAGGAATTGGGGGTGGGGGGAAGGTTGGGTCTCTGGGGGGTTGCTGGGGCCTGGGGCCAGGGGCAGAAGTTACACATAAACCAGTTTAAGTGATTAGAAATCAGTTTAAACGGAAGTTCAGTGCACATAAATCCCTTCAAAATGGTTGAAACAGGTTTAAGAGAACCTGAATAGCACAAACTGGTTTATGGGACTTCTGTCCCAGACCCCTTCCCAGTTCAAGTTAATTCACAGTCCCCCAGCATCCCAGGATGCTTTGCAGCCTTGGGCTGTGCTGTCTGCTCCAGTGGAGCAGGGACTACCTCACCCCTGTGCTCTATAGCTTGCTTCCTGCCTGCGGTCAGCGCATGGGAGGTGGGGGGGGCAGGGGAACAGACCCCCAGACCGCCTTAGCCCAGGTCTACACAGCTCATGGGGAGGGGGGGAAGCCCCTTTGGTGGTGGGGAGCTGGGAGAATTTTGTGCCTCCCCCTGCCCTGCACAGCTGCTTCCCTTAGCTGCTGGCACAGGAGGGAGGGGGAAGGAGTTCCCAAGGCTGTGGGGGTGGGGGCACCAGGGAGCCCCTGCCTTGGGGGCTTCTTCCTCTTTGGCCCCAGGTCCCCTAGCTGGGCAGCCTTGGGGAACTGAGGGGAATTTCCCCCCAACCCCCTTCCCAGCTGCTGATTGCTTCAGCCGCTGCCACAGGAGGGAAGGAGAAGGAATCCTCTAGGCTGGGTGCCTGCCTGTGCAGCCCAGCATGGGGGCACCAGGGAGCTGCTGCCTTGGAGGGCTTCCCTCTACCCCAGGCCAGGGTTCCCCAGCCTGGGGTAAGTCCAAGGAGATGAGGGGAATTCTTCCCTTCCTGAACCCCGCAGTTGCTTGCCTTAGCCACTGCGAGTATCAGGGACAGCCCAGGGCAGCCTCTGAGGAAAGGGAAATTTTCCCCTTCCTCTGCAGGTGTTTGTCCCCCGTTTGTCCAGGTGCTGGTCAGTGCTGCCCTTCCCCCCTCCCCCCCCTTCCCCAGTTAAAAGCTGAACATCAGTTCAGTTGGTTATCAGCTTAGAGGAAGTTGTCTAGATTGAATCTATTCTGCCTTGGGGTTTTTGACTGTCTCTACTTAGCTTGGGAGGGTTTCTGGGATGAGAGGGGCTTGTGGGGTTCACAGGGGAACTTTGAGGAACTAGGGCTACTTTCGTCCCTCCTGTCCCTCCCCCCACCAATATTTACTTTCTTGGCTCGCTGCTGCAGTGATAAAACAAGCATGGGGAGTGACTTGTGGGATGGGGGGTTGGGAGAGGGCTGAAGGGCTGGGAGGGCCTAAACCAGGGGCGGGCAATTATTTCAGGTGGAGGGCCGCTTACTGAGTTTTGGCAAGCCATCGAGGGACACATGACAGGCAGCCAGGGACAAACAAATAAACATTTTCTAAATTTTTTAGGGGCCCCACAGGCCAGATAGAATGGCCTGGCGGGCCGCATCTGGCCCTTGGGCCGCATTTTGCCCACCCCTGGCCTAAACATAACCCAGTGCCAGAGAGACAGGTAGGAAAAGTGGAGCCCCATGGCTGGAGCTGGCAGCTAGGGTTTCCCAGCCCTGAGGCTGTGCGGGTAACCATGTAGAAATCCCATTCATTGGTCTAACCTAGGTCAATTAAATTTGAGCGTACATTGATCCAGGTCTGTTTTAGACTGCGTTCTACCATTTTTAGATGAGTCTGTGTGCACAGAACTTCTGACAGTTCCAGGTTTAGATTGATTTCCAATCACTTAGGTTGGGTAAGGTCCACACCAGGGCAAACTAAGTGAGACTGGGTAGCCATTTTTAACCTGCTCTAACCTCCCCCTAACCTCTCCAAATGTCTGCACTTAACCACAATAAAATTTACTTTCTGTGACTTCCCTTTTTGTATGTATGATACATAGAAGTAGATGTATTTCTTATTAACAGATACCAGCTGATGGGAAAAGCCTTTTGGAAATAAAAGGCTTAAATCCAAATGAAAAGTACATATTTGCAGTTGCAGCATATTCCTCAGATGGAAAGCTTATTGGTGATGCTACTGGGGAAACAACTAAACCCATACTTGCATATCCACCTCTTTCTGCTACTACTGCTCGAGCATATTTGACTCAGGTAAATTTTAATCAATAGATGCATGGTTTAATTTGGTGTTATATTTGTTTTTTCCTTTTTAATGAAGATTCCAAAACATTTTTTTTTAATCAGGACCCAACATAAATTTTCTGGAGTCGCCAACAAGCACAATTTAAAGTAACCAATGAAAAAGTGTAGTAGCCAACTTAATTCTCACTTCATGTGTAATACCAGCTTAAGGAAAATCTTTTTCTGGGCTACTCCTCTTGTCCTTTTTTCCAATCTGCCACTCTCCGTTTAGTAAGCTCTTCCTTTTCTTTTTTTTTTCCCTCTTCTCATCCAGGTTTTTTTTGGTCTTTGGGAGACAGTTAAACAGTTGGAGATCATTTTAATGGGCATTGACAAGTGGGGCAAAAGATCTGATTAACTTTTGCAGGGGATATATCCAATATTGAAACAAAACCAGAGCTCTCAGAATTACAAATACTTTGAGAGACTCCTTTCATTATGTCTTTTATAAATTCTTTCTTCAAAAAGAAAGAGTTAGAAGAAGCAGCTGCATAATGGGGAAAGGGTGAATCCTTCCAGCCCCATGGAACCTGGGAAGCTGTGAGAGAGGTTGTCCAAGATTTGCAGAGGTTAGAACTATCCCTGTGAATTGCCGTCCATTTGTGTGGTCCAATTTGCATCCCCTCATCCTTGTTGACCTGGCTCCTGCAGTCATAGCAGCTACTGAGGAAATTCAGGGTGGATTAATAGAGTCAGGGTGGATTAGTACCACCCACAGTGACTTTCACACAGACTTTGCATAGAGGAATGGCCAACATTCTATCACACCATTTTTTATTCTAGTTCTGAATCAAATGCTACTTATCAACATTAAAGGTGCAGTGAGATCTGATGCATAATCCCAGCAATTGCACTTCCTGCTATACCACACATACATGGCAGGAGGTGCAATTATGGGACTGAAGATCAGATCACATTGTGCCATATTGCTAGTGCAGGGGGAGCCCAGGATGAGAGTGTGCCCTTGATCCAATGTGCTCACTCAACTAGGAGAGCCCATTTGTTGATTGTGCTCCCCTTTCTGGGAGCCCTAATCAGCTGATGGGTGCTCCTAGCTAGGGGAGCACATAAGAGCTAAGGGCTTCCATGAGCTCCCTTAGCTGGGAGCCCCCAGTCACCTGACCAGAATTTCCAGCCTCTGTAGCACATGGGAGTCTTGAAGGACTCCAGTGTGCTCAGAAGGGTGGGAGTACTGGTTGCATATTCAATTAGTCATAATGGGATCCAGCCACAACATTATTACATATATTTTGTGTAATAACATTGTGGAGTTATTACATGCATTTTGTGGCTTATTTCTTGTTTTATCACACCATTAATTGAATGAACATGATTAGGTCACTATTTAAGATGTGATTAACCAGTTAATCATGCTTTAAGTGTAACATCTGTCAGGAGCCAAAGGCTCTGCAAGTCCTATAGAATCAGATGAGTTTTAGATGTATGTTGCTCAGTTATGATTCTGAGAATATTTTAAGATAGTATAAACATCCCTGAAGTGTTGGAAAGACAAAAGATTATACATTCTAAAGACTTTCTTGTTACTGCTGTCATAGTTACTTGGCTTCACTATATAAAAACACCCAAGATCAATAGTTTTATTTAATTAACTATTATTAGTAAGCATTATAATCATGAATGTAACAACTTCATTATGAAAAGTATATAATTTCAAACCTACGTTATATTTTGTAGATTGCCTATCAGACCGGCAGCTATACATTAGCCAAGAAAGCTTTCTCACCAGTGTGGAATTATTTTGTCTCGTCTCCATCTCTACCATCTGCTGATTCAGGAGTTATTTTTTCCAGTAACAATTTTACTATATCTCTGAACAGGTAACTGGTAAAAGGATTTTTTTTAATAACAATTAATTGTAAATGTGCACTATTTTATTTTATAAAGTAACAGGTTATAAATTATTATTTATGCTCTCAGTCTGAATGCTGACAATTGTTAATGTTGTCATAAAAATATATATGATCAAAATAACAGAGAGTTTTCATTATAGCTGTTACCTCTACTATTATTTATAATGAAGTTTTCTCAGATAAGACAACTGGGCAAAATTTTTCCCAAGAAAAATTTGATTGCCTTATTTTCCTGTATAGAATATACAACACCAGAATTGTCACTTCTTGATGTTCTTGACATTATTAGAAGGAACAGGGTCTCAGAAATGTCTCTAGTGTTTATAGCCTCTCCAAAATGGTAAAGGAAAACAGACTGATATTTTACACTTTTTAACATTATAGAGGTTTTAACTCAGCCTTGTAAGGAAGTCTACTAAAACTTCATGGAAAGAACACAAAAGGAAATAAAAACAATTATTTGCAAGATAAAAAAAGACAAATTGTGTTTGGCATACATATATATAAGGTAATAGAAAAGAAATGCAGTTAGGTTAAAATATATTAATAGTTTGTCAATTTTCAGTAATCCAAAACATCTGAATTTTACATCATCATCTTCATTGGATGAACTCTTTTTATTAATTGTGTTAATAGGAAAATATTGGCATGATTGTAGAGGAGAAATAAAGTAGTTTTAAAATCTATAAGTTTGAATTTTGCAGAAATGCTGCAGAACTTTGAAGGTTTATTGGTATGAATCCAGGGCATATCACAAACAACCAATGTGTTTTTGTTCAATTTTGAATAGTGTTGTTAAAACAAAAACTATTTTCTGAAAAAAAATCTTCCCTCAAGTTTTGTATTACTCGTCTTTCTTTATATTATAACTGCTATATTACCGCTTCCACATCAAACCAGACCTATTCCTAAATCCATAGAAATAAATGAAAAAATTCCCATTTAAAGACAAGAGCATAAGGCCAAATTTTAAAGATATTCAGACACCTAACTCTCTTGGGTGTCTAACTTGTATGAGAATTAGGTGTCTGAATAACTTTAAAAATGCACACAAGACGTAGGATTGAAAGATACCTTCTGGAACAGAGACTGCTTTCTTCCTGTTGCAAGCAACTTTGTCATATAATACCATTCATAAACTTTTGAAGCTACATTTTAAATGTGGTTAGATTTTTTTACTTCCATAGGTTTTAGGTGTTAATTTATTACTTTATTTATTTGTATAATTTTTTTCATTCATCTTTTGTTCCTATTTATCTGTTTTATGTATGTTGCATATTTTGGTTCAAACCATATTGGCTGCTGATACACATGCTTGGATGGGGGGAGGGGCCATTTAATTAGAGCAGCTTCCAGGATCCCCCTCTAATTGAAAACAGCTCACTGTCATGTGTATTAAGCCCCCCGCATGTCAAAATGGCTGCAGGGGCACTTTAACTAAAGCCCATTCAAAGAGGTTTAGTTAAAGCACCCCTGTGACAATTTTGAAACAGGGGGCTTAATACACGTGGTGAGGCTATGCTGGAACGTTCTTATTAGAACATGTTAGCCCACATCTATAGTCACCCTAAGGTTGTTTGTTCTAAAGATAAGACCTATTCATATTTGATTTGTATGAATCAAATGAAGATTGCAGTTTGGAACAGCTGCTTAGAATTTTTCTAGAGATTTTCTTTTTTTTCAGTTAAGTCCAGATCCATCTCCCATTAAAGTTAATGTAAAGTTGTCCATG